ATGGCTTCCATGACCACATATATGCTGTATCCTATTCCTGATGTTTAATTCAGTACCCCCGTCTCCGAGATTTATACCTATATATCTCCAGCTGCTTACTGGACACCTCAACTTGTACTTAAAATTCACTGTGCTTTTAACCCTATCTTTTTCCAACCCTTGCTCCTTCTTTTTATCAATAAATAGCAATACCACTCTTGAGTCTCCTAGATTGGAATCCTAATCAAGGATGACTCTCCTTTAAAAAACCTTTTTGTTTCTACCCCCTAAATCTCCTATTCTCATCCATCTTTTCTGCTTTATCTACTTGGAACTACAGTTCAGCTTTCAATCATGAACACAGTATCCCAATTTATTTCTCAAAAGCGTATTCTGTTGGGGCTGTGGCACAGGGGGTGAAGCTACCATCCCATACGGATCCCAGTTCAAGTTCCGGCTGCTCCACTTCCCTGCTAATGTGCTTGGGAAAGCAGCAGAGGATGGCCTAAGTGCTTGGGTCCCTGCACAGGATGAAGCTCTTGGCTCCTGGCTTCAGGCTGTCCCAGCCCCGGTCATTGTGGCCATCTGGAAAGTCAACCAGCAGATAGAAGATCTCTCCCCCCTCTCTGTAATTCTGATTTTCAAATGAGTAAATAAATCTTTAAAAAAAGCACACCTTGTTCTCGCTAACCTCCATAAGCTGTTTTGTCTTCTTTTTAAATAATCAAGGGCAGGAGCGGCACTGTGGAATAGCAGGTAAAGCCACCGCCTGCAAAGACAGCATCCCATATAGGCACTAGTTTGTATCCAGCTACTCCACTTCTGATCCAGCTCACTGCTAATGGCCTGGGAAAGCAGCGGAGGATAGCACAAGTGCTTGGGCCTCTGCACCTATGTGGGAGACCCAGATGAAGCTCCTGGCTCCCATCTTCGACCTAGCATAGCCGTGGCCATCACGGCCATCTGGGGAGTGGATCAGAGGATGGAAGATCAATCTCTCTAAGTCTGCCTTTCAAATAAATAAGTAAAGACTATACTTTCAAGGAACATTTCTATAGTTCAAATAAATAAGTAAATAAACAAATAAATAATCAGTGGCAGCTGTTGTGGTACAGTGGGTTAAGCCATCACTTGGAAAGCCCACATCTCATACTGGAGGGCCAGTTTGAGTCCTAGCTTCTCAGCTTCCCACCCAGCTTCCTGCTAACGCACCTGGGATGCAATGGACCATAGCCCAAGTACTTGGGTTTCTGCCACTTATGTGGGGTACCAAGATGGAGTTGTTAACTCCTAGCTTCAGCCTGGCCCAGTCCTGAATGTTGCAGGTATTTGGGGAGTGAACCTGGAGATGGACAATCTCTCTTTTCCTCTCTTTTCTCTGTTTCTTCCTGTCACTCTGCCTTTCAAATAAATTTTTTAAAAAATTTCAACAAAAAGGGAGACTACATATATATTATTAGTCACTTACTTTTTTCAGTAAAAAATATATGATGAATATCCTTCATATAAACAAACAAATATAACTCATTCTTTCAAATAGCCACATAATCCTTAGTACAGGTATATCATAATTTACGTAAATATTCTCCTGCATGGCAGAGTATCATCTTGTGTCAAATTTTGCCACCATATATTATAATAAGGATTTATGCATACACACGCACCACTCATTCACCACTTCATTTTTGAAGCAGATTCCCACAGTGACATTGTTGGTATCAAAAGATTGTCTTTTACTAAACATTGCTAGATGCTTTCTCAACAGGTCATAACAGGACTCTCTGAGCACTGGCAGCAGACACCATAAGCAATGCTCACTCTCCTGAGTTGAACAAATTTACGGACAAGAAGTTGTCACTGAAATTAAGTGATGGCAGACATGTTCAAGGAATACTGTGAGGATCTGATCCCTTTATGAATCTTGTGATAGATGAATTGTGGAGATGGCAAATAGTGGACAACAGAAAAATATCGGAATGGCGGTAATATGAGGAAATAGCATCATCATGTTAGAAGCTCTGGAATGAGTATAATAATGACTGTTCAGCAAAGAAATCCATGTCCCTTCTCCAAAGGATCTCTTTACAATACGATGTAAAAGTTGGGTAATGTACATTTTCATATTAAATTTTTTGTTAAACTTTTGTGATAGTCAATAAAAAGTCATAACAATTCATAGTCTCACCAATAAGCTTCCCAACTACTACATGACATCAATCACCCTAATTTTGTTAATCTTATAGGTTGACAAAAGGGTAATTGGTCTTGATTTGAACTTCCCTGAGTCAAAAAGTAAACTAAATGTCCTAATTTGCAGTATCCCAGTTCAGAGCCTTTGCTAATTTTTCTACTGAGTCATCATCTTTTCATTATCAGTTTGAGGGCACACTGTTAAGCTTTTCTGCCATATGTGTGGCCAATATTTTCTTCCAGTCCATAGCTTAGCTCTTTTTTAAAAAAGTTTATTTTTAATTTATTTATTTGAAAAGCAGAGTGACAGAGAGAGAGAGAGAGAGAGAGAGACAAACTGATCTCCATCTGCTGGTTAATTCCTCAAATGCCATGCCAAAACCAGGAGCCTGAAACTCCATCAGGGTCCCCAACATGACTGGCAGGAACCCTACTACTTGAGCCTTCACCTGCCATTCCTCAAGGCGCATTCTAGCAGAAAGCTGTATTGGAAGCAGAGCAGAGACTTGAACTCAGGCACTCTGATATGGGATAAGATGTTCCAAACAGCATCTTAAGAGCTGTGCCAAATGTTTGCTCCTAAAGCTTAGCTGTCGATTTAGTTCATGACATCTTCTATACATAGGAATTTACAACCTTTAGATAATAACATTTTTCTTTCATGGAATCTGAGTTACCAAATAATTTTTTCAAATATAATTCATACAATCCTATATTTTCTCCCCATTTTTTTTCTTTTTTTTAAAGATTTATTTATTTACTTGAAAGTCAGAGTTACACAGAGAGAGGAGAGGCAGAGGGAGAGAGAGAGGTCTTCCATCCGCTGGTTTACTCCCCAAATGGACACAACGGCTGGAGCTGCGCCAATCCGAAACCAGGAGCCAGAAGCTTCTCCTGGGTCTCCCATGCAGGTGCAGGGGCCCAATGACTTGGGCCATCTTCCATTGCTTTCCCAGGCCATGGCAGAGAGCTGGATCGGAAGAGGAGCAGCCGGATTAGAACCGGCACCCATGTGGGATGCCAGCACTTCAGTCCAGGGCATTAACCCACTGCGCCACAGCGCCGGCTCCTTCTCCCCAATTTTTAAAAAGATTTATTTATTTATTTGAGAGGTAGAGTTACAGAGAGAGAGTGGGAGAGACAGAGAGAAAGGTCTTCCATCTGCTGGTTCACACCCCAAAGGGCTGCAACAGCCGGAGCTGGGCAGATGCAAAGCCAGGAGCTTCTTCTAGGTCTCCCACGTGGGTGCAGGGCCCAAGCACTTGGACCATCCTCTACTGCTTTCCTAGGCCACAGTAGGGAGCTGGATTGGAAGAGGAGCAGCCAGGACACAAAGAGGCACCCATATGGGATGCCAGAACTGCAGGCGGCGGCTTAAACTTCTATGCCATAGTTTCGTCTCCCCCCATCCCCATTTTATTATTTTACTTTTTTACAGTTTAGAGCCTTAATTTATATGGAATTTATTTTTAATTTGTAGAAGATGGACTAAGGACATATCTAAGTAACAAAAAAGAAGCAAAAAAAATATAAGAAAGCAGTTATCAGAGTAAAAAGCCTTAAGACAGAAATAATGAGTAAAATGTCAGTAAGCGGGGGTGGGGGGGTATTGTGTCATAGTGTGTAAAGCCACCATCTGTGATGCTGGCATCCCATATAGGTGCTGTTTTGAGTCCTAACTGCTCCACTTCCTATCTAGCTCCCTGTTAATGGCCTAGGAAAAAACAGCAGAAGATGGCCCAAGTCTTCAGGACCTTGCCAATCAATGAAAGACCTGGATGGCTTCCAGCTCCTGGCTTTGACCTGTTCGAGCCCTAGCTGTTGCAGTCATATGGGGAGTGAACCAGTGGATGGAAGCTCTCTCTCTCCCTCAAATAAATGAATAAGTCTTTTGTAAAAGTCAGTAAGCAATTAAAATCTAATATTAAATATTTATGTTCTGGGGCAAGTGTTTGACTTAGCAGTTAAACTATCATTCGGGATGCTTATAACTCAGATCAGAATGCCTGTTCAAATTCCCACTCTGCTCCTGATTCCAGATTCCTGTTAATGTGCACCCTGGGAGATAGCAGGTGATGGCTCAAATAGCTGGGTCCCTGCTACCCATATGGGAAACTTGGACTGAATTCCCAGTTCCTGGTTTCGGCTTGGTTCAGCACTGGCTGTTGCAGGTATTTGGAGAGAGAACCAACATTGTATGAAAACAGCACATACAAAAACTGAGAACTACTAAAAGCAAACTGAAACATGCACAAAAACAAATATTAAAGCAATTATTTCTAGGTAAAAATTTAGTAGATTCTGAATTCGTTCTTAACAAAATGCTTTACAATAAAGGATCTTTTGTAGAGGTAAAAGGCCACCATTATGAAATTATCTGATGATGATATAAAATTATCTGTGGGTGGGGTTTGGACTAGGGTCACGCAGTGCTTTAAAACTTTGCATATCTTGATCAGGGTGCTAAGTTACAGTAAAACATTCATCCAGCTGTACCCTTAGCATTAGTACACTTTACACTGCCATTACACTGAATTAAATCTTGGAGTCACTTCTGTTCAAAATAAGAACAAGAAAATAGCTTCCTTTTGGCATTGCTTAATACTTGAATGAAAAAACGCTGGTGACTGCTATTGGAGAAGGAGAGGGAAAACCTTCAGGACCAGCACTGTGGCACAGTGGGTTAAAGCCCTGGACTGAAGCGCCAGCATCCCATATGGCCGCAGGTTTGAGACCCGGCTGCTCCTCTTCCGATCCAGCTCTCTGCTGTGGCCTGGGAAAGCAGTAGAAGATGGCCCAAGTCCTTGGACCCCTGCACCCGCATGCAAGACCTGGAAGAGGCTCCTGGCTTCGATCGGCGCAGCTCTCGCTGTTGTGGCCAACTGGGGAGTAAACAAAAGGAGGGATTACCTTTCTCTGTGTCTCTGCCTCTCCTCTCTCTGTGTAACTCTGACTTTCAAATAAGTAAATATCTTAAAAAAAAAAAAAAAAAAAAAAGAAAGAAAGAAAAGAAAACTTTTTTTTTGACAGGCAGAGTTAGACAGTGAGAGAGAGAGAGACAGAGAGAAAGGTCTTCCTTTCGTTGGTTCACTCCCCAAATGGCTGCTGCAGCCAGCGCACTGTGCTGATCTGAAACCAGGAGCCAGCTGCTTCCTCCTGGTCTCCCATGCGGGTGCAGGGCCCAAGCACTTGGGCCATCCTCCATTGCCCTCCCGGGCCACAGCAGAGAGCTGGCCCGGAAAAGGAGCAACTGGGACAGAATCCGGTGCTCCAACAGGGACGAGAACCCGGAGTACCAGTGCCCCAGGCAGAGGATTAGCCTAGTGAGCCGTGGTGCTGGCTAAGAAAACCTTCTTTAACAGTGCCCCACTACCTAGGGAATGTCTAAATGATTCAGCATAACATTCAGGACCCTTCATAATCTGGCCTCTTTGGTCTATGTCCTCTTGAGTGAGCACAAGAAATTTGTTGTAAACATAGCAGACTCAGTCACCTTGAAGGTGTGGCTCAGATTTCCTTCTGCTGGGGCAAAACCCTAATACCTTTCAAGATCATCTTCAAATGTCACCTCCTCTTTGGAGCTTTCCCTGCCCATTCCCAGAAAGGAAATAATTCATTTCTCCCCTCTTTCTCAAAAAATGTTTCCTAGTGCTCATATAGTGCTTAGTATTTATGCACCTTTCTGCTCCCACTCAACTGAATTCCAGGAGGTCAAAAAAGATGGTAAATGCTTAACACTGATTTCAATAAATATGCAAAAATTTTTTTAATTTCACTTAACAAATAAAAGAATAAGAGGGCTGGCACCGCGGCTCGCTAGGCTAATCTTCCGCCTGTGGTGCCGGCACTCCGGGTTCTAGTCCCGGTTGGGGCGCCAGATTCTGTCCCGGTTGCTCCTCTTCCAGTCCAGCTCTCTGCTGTGGCCCGGGAGTGCAGTGGAGGATGGCCCAAGTGCTTGGGCCCTGCATCCGCATGGGAGACCAGGAGGAAGCAGCTAGCTTCTGGCTTCAGATCAGCGCAGTGCACTGACCGTAGCAGCCATTTGGGGGGTGAACGAATGGACGGAAGAGCTTTCTCTAACTCTGCCTGTCCAAAAAAAAAAAAGGCTACAGGATTGCACTCGCAGTACAGGTCTTCTGAAGGAGAGACACTGAGGTGCCACCAGCCTTTAAAATTAAAAAAGAAAAAGAATAAGAGAACAGCATAAAAGACAAACAAAAATATTACTCTACGCACATTTGGATCTACATAGAAAATTTGAAAGTGTATTTATAAGAAACCTAAGAGTGGTTGTCTCTGGAGATGGAGGCTGGGATCTGCTTTGGGAGGAAGATTTAATTTATACTCTTCTGCTATCAAAGTTTTCTGTCACCTCAAAGCATTTTAAAAAGTAATTTAAAGTGTTAAATATAAAGATTTTAAGGGAGCATGGAAAATGTTGAGTCAATATCCATTGCTTAAAAAAAAAAGGAAGTAGAAAATAATTTAAAAATAAAAAAGAAAGTTGCAGAATGACAAATAATAAAAATACGTCCAAATCTACAAGGGCACATAAAAAAATCCATAGATGATATTCTCATTAATATGTATTTTCCATGAATTTTTGGAGACTCTTATGCATGGATTTCCAAACTTTTGTGCCCAAATAAAAATATCTTTTTTTTTTTTTTTGACAGGCAGAGTTAGAGACAGAGAGAAAGGTCTTCCTTTTCTGTTGGTTCACCCCCCAAATGGCCGCTACATCTTTTAATTCCATTTCTCCATGAACTTTCTGAGAAGCAGAGACAGAGCAAAGGTCCATCCACTAGTTCACCTCCCAAAAGCTCACAAAGGCTGGAGGTAGACCGGGACTGGGACTGAAGTCAGGAACCTGGAACACGAATCTAGGTCTTCCATGGGCAGGAACCCAATGACTTGAGCTATTGGTCTGCATTAGCAGGAAGCTGGTCAGTGGCAGAGCCAGGAAAAAAACAGAGGCACTTCAATGCATGATGTAGCCATCTTAACTGCTAAGTTAAATGTCTGCTGCTCTCCATGAACTTTTTGAAGTTTTGTAGTATATAAGGATCAGAGGGAAATGTGAAAAGGAGAAAAAGCTTATGATTAAATATGTAAAGAACTGGCTCAAATAAATATATTCTGATAACTTTAATTTAAAATCATTTGCAATTTACTTAGATTCATTTTCTCGAAGGTTTCCTGTAAAATATTCAACATGGGTCAACACAGGTTAAACTGCCACTTGGAATACTAGCATCCCATATTAGAGCACTGGTTTGAGTCCTGGTTACTCTGCTTCTGATCCAGCTTCCTGCTAATGCCCCTGGGAAAGCAGAAGATGGCTCAAGTATTTGGGCTTCTGCCACCCACACTGGAGACCCAGTTTCAGCCTGGACCAGCATTGGCAATTGAGGTCTTTGGGGAGTGACCAGGGTATGGAAAATCTCTGTCTCTCTCCCTCCCTGTCACTATAACCTTCAAATAAATAGATAAACTTAAAAAAAAAAAAAAAAAGTCTTGGGCCGGTGTTGTGGCTCAATAGGCTAATCCTCCACCTGCGGCGACGGCACACCGGGTTCTAGTCCCGGTGGCTCCTCTTTCTGTCCAGCTCTCTGCTGTGGCCCAGGAAGGCAGTGGAGGATGGCCCAAGTCCCTGGGTCCTGCACCCCCATGTGAGATCAGGAGAAGCACCTGGCTCCTGGCTTCGGATCAGCGCAACGGTAAAGGAAGACCTTTCTCTCTCACTGTCCACTCTGCCTGTCAAAAAAAAAAAAAAAAAAAAAAAGTCTCTCGCTCTCTGTCACTCTTTCAAATAAATAAATCTTAAAAAAAAAAATACCCAACAGACACGAATTATAGACATTCTATCAGACTACCACTTATAGTCAAAAGAGAAAACATTACTATTTAAATAACATCAAGAAGAGGGGAAAAAAGATACTGGTGGTTTATACTTGCTTTGTGGTTGCTTTAATCACTTGTTTTATTGTGTGCTTGTTTTTAAAATAAACTTCAAATTTTTATTTAAAACCTTCTTCTATCAGTGCTATTTTTGCTAGTACTTTCCTATAGCAAGCAGTGGCAAATGAACAACAGAACTCTTCACTGATTTCAAATATGGGTATTATTTTTGTAATTAAATAGTCTTTTGCATTTGTAGTATTAGTTCTTTTCTAGAAGTTTTTTTTTTTTTTTTTTTTTAATCATTATTATTTTAAAGGTGGAGTGACAGAGAAGGAGAGACAGAGATCTTCCACCCACTGGTTCACTTCCCAGATGCCTGTAACAACTGAGAAGTCAAGAGCCTAGAACTCCCACCTGGGTCTCCCACAGGGGTGGCAGGGACCCAACTACTTGGGCCATCATGTGTTGTCTTCTCAAGTGCAGAAGTAGCAGAAGTTGGATCAACAGTGGAGTAGCTGGGACTTTCCACTCCAATTTGGAATGCTTTGTGCCATAAAATCTACTCCAAGAAAGGATTTTTAAGGAGTGCTAAAGGTTGGTTTCCATTAGCAACAGAAGCTGGGTCAAAAGTGGAGTAGCCAGGACTCGAACTAGCACACCAATTTTGGGATGGTGGTGTCCCAAGGGGTGGCTTAACCCTTTATACCACAATACCTGCTCTAAGAAGGCATTTTAAGGTAGTCCTAAAGACTGGTTTCTTCTCATGCATTAGGTCTCAACTCAGATGTCACCTACTCAGAGAAACCTTTCTTGATCCACTTATCTAAAGTACCTTCTCTCTAATATCACAAACAGAAGTAATGCTTATTCTTTGTTTACTGATTTATTTTCTATTATTTCCTACTTTAATGTAAGTTTGAAGAGGGCTGGGAACTTGTTTGCCTGCTATTGCTGTATTCCCATAGGAATTCAATAGTACTTATTGGCTAAATGTGGGGCTTTAGGTAGCAAGAAATAGGGAAAAATTGAGTCATTTATTTTTAACAAATATTAACAAATATTGTTACCTAGCACATTTTGCTACACTGTTAGGAATTTAAAGCTCTACAAGATACAATAGCGGGCCTACCTTCAAAAATTTTATCAAGAGACTCATAGAAGGCAGTAGTGAGAAGTTCCATTCAAGAAGGTAAACTAAATGGTATAAAAACTTAAAGAGGCTGGGTGAAAATGAGAAGCCATCATGGAGGTAGTATTCCAGTTGAGCTGAAACTTGAAGCTTGGCTAAAAATTAGAGTCAGGGAAAGGGAGGCAGTTTAGACAGAGGAATCCACATCACAACAAAGATGTGGAGGTAAAAGCCTATAAGAAGAGTAAACAGTAGAGACAGAAAATCTAGATTATACCAGTGAAAGTAGATAAGAATAACAACGTAGGCTGGGGCCAGTTGGAGTCTATCTTCAAAAGCAGACTAAGTGTCTGAAATGAGCTTTAGGCAACTGAGAATCTGCAGATTTTCAGTAAGAGAACCATAGGATCACAGCGCACTATTATCACAGGAAAATGATTTGGGCAGCTCTTTGCTAGATGGATTAGAATGAGAAAGAGCAAGAACCTGGACACTCAAATCACTCAGGAAGCTACTGTGACAAACTGGGTCTAAGATAAGGCCTGAAAGTAAATAAAGTTTAAACATTACGGAAAGCCACAGATGGGACATACATTAACTCTTCAAAGATCTACTGTGAATCCTAGGTCTGTATTTAATAGCTGTATTAGACTTTTTTCTTTAAGTATTAATAAAATGACTTGCATATCACACAATTCACCCACTTAAACTACAATTCAGTGGTTTTTCAGTATATGCACAGTCATGCATCCATCACATTACCACAATCATTTTTAGAACAATCTTACTACTCCATACAAGTCCCTTCCCCCCAATCTTCCCATTCCCAAGACACAGACAACCATTTTCTACTTTCAATCTCCATGGATTTATCTATTCTGGAATTTCATATAAATGGAGTCATACAATGCAGTCCTTTGTGACTGGCTTTTGTTTAGCGAATGTTTTCAAGATTCAGCCATGTTATATAGACTATATTAGTGCCTCATTCCTTTTTATTGCCTTTATCTAGCCACTCTTCAGTTCATGGATAGTTCCACTTCATGACTATTATGAATAGTGCTGCTACACTAATAGCTATACCAGTTTTAATATCTACAAACTAGATATTCTCATGAAATTTAAAATATCTAAAGAATACAAGTGATTGGCATTGAGTAAATGTTTAAGAAATATTAGTTTGGGGCCGGCACTGTGGAACAGTGGGTTAAAGCCCTGGCCTGAGCGCCGGCATCCCATGTGGGCGCTGGTTCTAGTCCCGGCTGCTCCTCTTCCAATCCAGCTCTCTGCTATGGTCTGGGAAAGCGGTGGAGGATGGCCCAAGTCCTTGGGCCCCTGTGCCCATGTGGGAGGCCCAAAGGAAGCTCCTGGCTCCTGACTTTGGATTGGCTCAGCTCCAGCTGTTGTGGCCATCTGGGGAGTGAACCAGTGGATGGAGGACCTCTCTCTCTGTCTCTTCCTCTATGTAGCTTTGTTTTCAAATAAATAAAATAAATCTTTAAAAAAAAAAAAAGAAATATTAGTTCCAGGGCCAGCCCTGTGGCACAGTGTGGTTAAGCTGCCACCTGTGATGCTGGCATCCCATATGAGCACGGGTTCGAATCCCAGCTGCTCCATTTCTGATCCAGCTCCCTGTTAATGCACCTGGAAAAGCAGTAGAGGATGGCCCAAATGCTTGGGCCCCTACAACCACCTAGGAGACCCAGATGAAACTTCTGGCTCCTGGCTTCCACCTGGCCCAGCCCTGGCCATTGATGCCATTTGGGGAGTGAACCAGAAGATAGAAGATCTCGCTCTCAGTCTCTCCCTCTTTCTCTGTAACTCTGCCTTTCAAATAAATATTTTTTAAAAATATTAGTTTCCTTCTCTTTATCTACTGTGATTTGCAGGTAAATCAAATGTTCTTAAGTTATTTCTCTTTCTAGCCTCAGCTAACTATACTGTCTTCAACCTATCCTAACAAAACCTTGTTTCCAGTCAAATGAATAATTCGCCTGTCTCATAGAAGATTCCTTTAACATTTCTTTCAGACGCTTTCATCTTTCTCTAACAGAACTCAGAGGCTCCCGCTTCTCAATGTACACAAGGGTACTTCAAAAATTCCATGAAAAAAATAGAATTAAAATATGGATGTATCCTGGACACTCAAAAAATTCTTAAAAATCCACATAGTTTTTTATAATATGTATTTTCCACAAATGTTTTTAAAAGATTTATTTTATTTTTTTGAAAGATTTACAGAGAGAGGTAGAGACAGAGAGAAAGGTCTTCCATCTGCTGGTTCGCTCCCCAGATGACCGCAACGGCTGGAGCTGGGCCGATCCAAAGCCAGCAGCCAGGAGCTTCTTCCAGGTCTCCCATGTGGGTGCAGGGGCCCAAGTGCTAGGCCATCTTCTACTGCTTTCCCAGGCCACAGCAGAGAGCTGGATCGGAAGAGGAGCAGCTGAGACTAGAACCAGTACCCATATGGGATCTGGCACAGCAGGCAGAGGATTAACCTACTGCGCACAGCGCAGGCCCCACCATGAATGTTTTAAAGACCCTCTTATGCACTGATTTAAAAAAACTTTTGCACTAAAATAAACTTACCTTTTAATTCCAATCTCCATAGACTTTTTATTTTTTTTATTTTTTATTTTTTTATTTTTTGACAGGCAGAGTGGACAGTGAGAGAGAGAGACAGAGAGAAAGGTCTTCCTTTGCCGTTGGTTCACCCTCCAATGGCCGCTGCGGCCAGCGCGCTGTGGCCGGCGCACCGCGCTGATCCAATGGCAGGAGCCAGGTACTTCTCCTGGTCTTCCATGGGGTGCAGGGCCCAAGCACTTGGGCCATCCTGAACTGCATTCCCTGGCCACAGCAGAGAGCTGGCCTGGAAGAGGGGCAACCGGGACAGCCGGGACAGAATACGGCGCCCCAACCAGGACTAGAACCCGGTGTGCTGGCGCTGCAAGGCGGAGGATTAGCCTAGTGAGCTGCAGCGTCGGCCTCCATAGACTTTTTCAAGTTACTATATATGCTTTATTCAATAAATGTTGAATATTATCCTGTCTTTTGGTTATGTTTTCATTTATACAAAGAACCAATAGAACTTCTTTTTATAACCCTTACAACTTTTCCTCTTCATTCAGTCTCTATCTTTTTTTAAAGATTTATTTATTCGAAAGGCAGAATTACAGAGAGACAGAAGCAGAGAGAGAGGTCTTCCATCCACTGGTTCACTCCCCAAATGGCCGCAAAAAGATGGAGCTGAGCAGATCCAAAGCCAAGAGCCAGGAGCTTCTTCTGGGTCTCCCAAACAGTGCAGGTGCTCAAGGACTTAGGCTGTGTTCTACTGCTTTCCCAGGCCATCGGCAGGGAGCTGGATTGGAAGTGGAACAGCCAGGACTCAAACCTATGCCTGTATGGGATGCTGGCACTGCAGGTGGCAGCTTTATCCACTACAACTGCGCCAGCCCCCAGTCTCTGTCTTTACTGTACACTTTATCTGGGTAGCCTGGTGGTATGCAGGTGAACAACAGAAGATGGACATTTTGTTAGTGCTATACTTTCCCTCCTGCCTTGCTTCCATGCTACTAAAAATGACAGCATTATTATCATTAACTTTTTTCTCAAAAATACTGATGTAAACACTATGTTTAATTTGGATTTTATACAATTTGTTACCTATTTTCAGATAAATGTACGTAAACACCATTGTGATTTTAAACACCTCCAATTTTTTTAAATTTTCACTTATTTGTACCTGAGAAGGGGACAGCTCTCACTGCTGGTTCATTCTCCCAAACTCCTGCAATGGCACAGCTCAAGCTGGGAGGACTCAGCCCAGGTCTCCCCTGTCAGCGACAGGAACTCAATCACCAGCCATCACCAGCTCCTCCCAAGGCCTCCACAGCAGAAAGCTGGAGTCAGGAGCTAGGAATCTCACCCCCGCACTCTGATGCCCGGAGTGGGCGGCTTAACTGGCATCCTAGCCACTAGGCTAAATATCCACCCCTAAACAAAATGCTCATCTTAAAATGCACCACCTTTTGAAAGTCAACATATCTTTCTTTGCTATCTTTTTACCTATTCATAGGCTTACTCAGGGCCTGCTATTTGTTAAACACAATCCCAGTTACTGATGGGGACTTCTAACTTTACAGAAGCACTCCACAACTCCCAGGAGTCTGCTACCCGAATCACTTCTGCTCTTTGTTCAACAAGCTGGAGTAAGAAAACAGTAATTAGATGTCACTCCCTTCCCACTACTAGCCCGTAATTATTTGGAACGCAGCGATGCCAAACACCGAAGGTTCTTCCTGGGCAGTGTCTTCATTCCCTGTGCCCTGCCAGAGCGAGATTTCTATGAAAGTCGGCGACGACTCGGCGGAACATCAGTGAGCAATACGTACTACAGTCCCAACAGCAGGCAGCAGCCCGGGAACGCAAAGGGGAAGGGGAAGGCGCAGCCCCGCCAGGCTCCGCTGGGAGCTGTCACGGCTCCGACAACCATGCCAAGGGGCCTAGCTCCAGAACTATTTAGAAAGTCAGCTCTTCAGGAAGGCTGCAAGAGGGTCTTAAGTTTAGCTGAAGTTGCTTTAAAAAACAACAACAAAAAACGACGCTTGTAAAACCCTCCTTAATACCCACACGAAACAGCAGCCACTGAAACTCCAGTGCAGGGGAGGAGGTGGGGGAGGCGGGAGAGGGAAACACAGCCCAGATTGTGGACGGTGGAGAAGCAGAGAGACATCCCCGCCTGGCGGGTTCCGGCCTGGGCCGAGGAGACGCGCAGGGGCCGCGGAAGCGAACGCCGGGCCCCGGGCGGCTCACCCAGGGCGGGGCTTCGGTGCCGGAGCCCGACCGCGGCCAGCGGGTGCCCGGCGCCAGCCAGAAGGCCGCGACCCGCCCTGTCGCACCCCCCCCCCCCCATCCCTGCAGCTGGCAAGAAACGAGGCTGGGGAGGAAGGCAGGAGGAAGTCTCCACAGGGACGCAACAAGTGCTCGCAGCGGCTGCCCGAGAGGCTGCCGAGCCGGGGCGGAAAAGCAAGGTCCGGCGCGGCGGCCTCCAGGGCCTTCCCTGGGCTCAGCCCCTACCCCGCCGCACTCACTCTGCCACACGACGCTCTTCAGACCCCGTTCCGTCGCCAGCGGCGCCATCTTCCCAACGCTGTGGAGCAGCAGCCACGGACGCCCACTTGCAACCCACTTCAGCCGTGAGAGCTGCACTCGGGGCGGCCCCGCCCCCGCCGCCGCGGAAGCCCCGCCTCCCCGCGGGCCGCGCCCTCCGGTGACGTCACGCGCAAAAGCACGGGGATTCCCGCCCCCTCCTGAAAGGAGGCTGCGCAGTGCGGGTGGAATCGTCACGGGCAGTCTGGCTCCCCCTGGCGGGAGGCTGATGTTCATCGTCTGGCGAAGTTGAAAGCGAAACATGGCAGCGGATGTGAGGGGCCAGGGTCCGAGAAATTCCAAACTCCCACGTACGTGAAGCAGTGGGAAGCCTTCGCCTTGCAGAAGAATTCTTCACCTGACGAAGCAGCTCACAATAGACTTCACTCAGTAGCCAGCTCATTCACCGAATGGAAAATTTACTACCCGCCCCGCAAAGTTTATTTTATTTCCTTTTTCAAAGTTGCAGTCACTGTGTAGAACCGTAGCATTGCCTCCATGTGTCCAGAACTATACTGAACTTTCTGGTGAGAGATTCACTTCTTTCTCTATCATCTAATTAAAGAGCACAATTTCCAGCATGTAGTAGGTAGTCAAAAGTTGATTGAAAAACAAATACCTTAGTGATATAATGTAAATGAATGAACTAATATAGCAATAATCATCCGTTCAACAAGTTTGTGCAACAAATATAAGGGAGGCTGGCGCCGCGGCTCACTAGGCTAATCCTCCGCTTTGCGGCGCCGGCACACCGGGTTCTAGTCCCTGTCGGGGCGCCGGATTCTGTCCCGGTTGCCCCTCTTCCAGGCCAGCTCTCTGCTATGGCCCGGGAGTGCAGTGGAGGATGGCCCAAGTCCTTGGGCCCTGCACCCCATGGGAGACCAGGAGAAGCACCTGGCTCCTGCCATTGGATCAGCGCCACAGCGCGCCGGCCGCGGAGGCCATTGGAGGGTGAACCAACGGCAAAGGAAGACCTTTCTCTCTGTCTCTCCCTCTCACTGTCCACTCTGCCTGTCAAAAAATTAAAAAAATATATATATAAGGGAGAGGCTATCAATACTGTAGGATCCAGGATTACTGTTGAAAGCTGATTCACAGAGGCGGTTTGAGCCCAGAAAGTTTAGGCAGAGATCGTTTACTGAGATGGTTCATTTCAGACTTGAAATCAAAGCAGTCAATCACGAGTTTGATCAGTTGAGTTGCTGAGCACCATGTGACATAACCATCAGGTACATTGGTGGAAAGTAGGCTTTCCTGGAGGGAATCTTTGCCGGTTCGAGTTGATAACATAGGGAAGTGGAAATAGTTGGTCACTACTAATGCTGTAAGAATGTGTAAGTGGATTACTTCATTTATCCTCAGAGCAACCCTTATAGACAAGAAAACTCTGCTTAGTCAAGTTAAGTAACTTGCCAAAGATGCACATTGAGGGAATGGGGACAGGATCAGGCTTGGCCTGCCAGAAAGCAGTAGAGCAGTCTGTGGGATATCCTGCACTTTTTAGGAGGGAAAATGAGACTGGAGAAGAAAGACAGCCATCAAATGGGTTCAGGCACAACCTCTTGCATGAATGCTTTTTCTGTTGGACAGTTACTCTAAATGGATTCAGTTGCTCAGAATTCTAAACAAATGCTCACATTAGTTCCCCTGCCTTTTCCTTTTAAATCAGGTTCTCCTTAGCACAGCAGAAACGACCATGACCCTGGAGGCTCTCCCCTCTCAGGTGGAGCTCCTCTCCCTGGAGGGCCAAATCAAGAGAGCAGGGTGAGGGGGGTGAGATGCCAGTGTCTTGTCCATGAGGAGGAGGACAGATGCCAGGAGTGACACAAACAGGGCCTTCGGGGGTGGAAGTCTGACCCCAGTCATGTGAGGTTCAGTTGTGGTTCCTGTCCCTAAAGGCCAGGGTAAGTGGGATGGAAAGTGGAGCAAGCTTGGGCTTTTGCTGCACCCACACACAGGTCCATGTTCTCAAAATTCTGGCCCTGCCGCTGTCTGGTGGTGTGACTTTAAACATCTCAGCTTCATTGCATTTAATGTGCTGAATATAAATCTATTCTCTGAAACATCACAACGAACCAGCAGGGTGATAGTCGTTACTGCCAATCTACAGATGAGAAAACTGTGACTCAAAGAGGCTAACCCATGTAAAATCTCAGGGCCAGCATTGTGGTGCACCAGGTTAAGCCATAGCTTATGATGCCATTTCAAGTCTTGACTACTACTCTGCTTCTTCTTCATCTTTTTTTTTTTTTTTAAGATTTATTTATTTATTTATTTGAGAGGTGGAATTATAGACAGAAAGAGGGAGACAGAGAGAAAGGTCTTCCATCCACTGTGTCACTCCCCAAATGGCTGCAAAGGCAGGAGCTGAACAGATCTGAACCCAGGAGCCAGGAGCTTCTTTGAGGTCTCTCATGTGAGTGCAGGGGCCCAAGTACGTGGGCCATCTTCGACTGCTTTCCCAGGTCAAAGCAGAGAGCTGGATAGGAAGAGGAGAAGCCGGGACATGAATGGACACCCATGTAGGAAGCCAGCACTATAGGCAGCAGGCTTTACTTGATACGCCACAGCACCAGCCCTGGGTGGTCTGCTTCTAATCCAGCTTCCTGCTAACGTGCCTTGGAAGGTAGCGAAAGATGGCCCAAGTGCTTGGGTCCCTGCCACCCACGTGGGCAACCAGAATGGAGTTCCTGGCTGCTGCCTGCAGCTTGATCCAGACCTGGCTGTTGCAGCCATTTGGAGTGTGAACCAGTAGGTGGGAAATCTTTCTCCCTCTGCCTCTTTGTTTTTCTGACTTTCATATAAATAAATAATAAAAATTTAAAATTATGTAAAATCTCCAAGTGAGTTAAGCTCTGGTTGCATCTGGCTCCAAGTCCATCACCCTTAAACTATTGTACCATCTCGCCCGTCTTCCCATGCTCCCCCGGCGTTTCATAACCTTCCTGAGCTGTTTTTTCTAAGTCTTCTCTACTTTGCTTGCCTAACCAAACTGAAAACTGAACTTGGATTCCCTGAACATGACACAGCAAAATGAAGGGCAAGATCCACCAACGTTGGCCGGAGATAAAAAACTGCTTTGTATAATTCACAGAGCAGATGATAAATAGTCAGAATATCTGAGGGCTGACAATACAAGTACTCCCGTGAAAGCAAATTACTTCCTTGGTTTCCTATTCCTGGGTCTTGTTCATTAGTAATAAGTGATGACTTAATCATGATATGGGGAGATATTTTCCATAAAGATATCACAGACAAGCAGGTCTAATCAATGCTACTTAACTTATTTGGTTCCCAGCAGTTTCAGACTGGTCAATTGTGTGGATGTGAGGGAGCCACTTGACCTTTCTAAGGGGATAACACCATCCCCTAGCTTTAGGGATATTATGAGAATGAAATGAGTGAATTGAAAGCACTTATGCACATCGTAAGTGGTACATAGACTTTAAATAACCTAGTTTGCTTTGGGGATAGGCATTTGGTTCAGAAATTAAGATGTCTGTGTCCCATTTTGCAGTGCCTGTGTTCAGAACCTGGCTCTGGCTCCTGACTTGAACTTCCTGCCAATGCAGACCCTAGAAGGCAGCAGTGATGGCTCAAGTCATTGAGTCCCTGACACTAAGATGGGAAGTCTGGATTGAGTTCTCTGCTCCCAACTTTGGCCCAGCTCAGTCCTGGCTGTTGCGGGTATGTGGGAAGTAAACTAGTGGATGGATACTGTCTCTCTCTGCCTCTCAAATAAATTATCACATATGCTCAAAGAAGCTTGGCCTATGAACCAAACTGCCTTCACTTTCACCCTGCGAGGACCACATTCTGAAGAATGTAGCTCAGCCTTTGACGTCTAGCGAAGCAGCCGGCCAGTTCCTTTTCTGTGCCACAAATGCTTGCAGAGTGTGGGTGAACAGGCCCCAGTTCTCTGGTGTCCTTGGCCAAGGGATCCACTGGACATCCTGCCCCTCCGTTCCTGTGCACCAAGACACAACTCTACCAACAGGGCCCACTCTGCTGGCACCTAGGCTCGGCACAGAGTCTCCTTTGGACTCTGGATCCAGAATGTTCCCCCAGCTCTGCACCATGATGGTTGCTGTCCCAGGGCACAAATCTGCTCTGAACCCCCCACCCCAGGTCTCACCATTCTTTCCTTGTAGACTACACGCTACATCTTTTCCTGATTGTTTTAAAATTAGGTTGTATTTATTTATTTGAAAGGCAGAATGACAGAAAGAGAGGGAGATAGAGAGAGCTTCCATCTGCTGGTTCACTCCCCAAATACCAGATATAGCCTGGTCTAGGCCAGGCCAAAGTCAGGAACCAGAAACTCCATTCAGGTCTCCCAAAGGGGTAGAAGGAGCCCAAATACTTAGGTCATCACATGCTACCTCCCAGGCACATCAACAGGAAGCTGGATCAGAAGCAGAGTTCGAATTCAATCCCATGTACTCTGATACAGTATGCTGGTGTCTCAAGCAGCTATTTAATCCACTGAACCACATCACCTACCCTGAGACCTACAACTTGTCAGCCTCTTACCCCTGAAATTTTGCTTACAAGAAGAGCTCACCAAGACAACACTTTTAAGGTTCAAAACTGGCCACATGTCAGAATCATGAGCTTGTTAAAAATACATATCCCCACCCTGGTCCAGACCCACTGACTTCAGATCTCCAAGACTAAAACCCGGGATTCTAGGTGAGTAACGAGATACCCTGAGAGTTGCTGATGCACTAACTCAACCCCTGCTCCCTCACTAGTGTTTAGGAACAGAGGGCTGGGACCGGTGCTGTGGCGTGGCGGGTAAAGTTGTCACCTGCAGTGCTGGCATCCCATATGGGCACTGGTTTGAATCGTGGCTGCTCTCCTTCCGATCCAGCTCTCTGCTGTGGCCTGGGAAAGCAATAGAAGATGGCCCAAGTCCTTGGACCCCTGCACCCATGTCGGAGACCCAGAAGCTGCAGGCTCTGGCTTCAGATTGGCCCAGTTTGGCCGTTGCAGCCATTTCGGGAGTGAACCAGCAGATGGAAAACCTCTCTCTCTCTCTCTCTGCCCCTGCCTCTGCTTCTCTGTAACTCTGCCTTTCAAGTAAATAAATACATCTTAAAAAAAAAAAAAAAAGGAACAGGGGCTGTGCTCACTTGGGCAGCACATAGTCTAAAATTAGAACGACACAGAGAAGGTGAGCATGGCCCCTGCTGCAAGGATGACATGCAAATCTGTAAAGTGTTCTATGTTTAAAGACAAATACCATGTTTCCCTGATCTGTGGTAACTAACAGAGTATGAAGAAATGTAATATAAATGAGGAAATTACATTTTGAGAACTGATTAATGTTTACAGCCCTTGTCTCTACTATTAAGGAACAGTGTTTTTTTCTTCCTACTATTTGTTGAATTTTTTACTTAGTGGAGGGCTCATCTTATGATTATGAAATAAATGGAAATTATGGAATGTAAATTTAAAAAAAAAATAAAAGGAACAAGGGGCTGACATTTGGTGCAGCAGTAAAGATACTGCTTGGGGAGTCTAATTCCCATATCAGAGTACCTGGGTTCAAGTCCTGCCTCCAATTCCAATTCCAGCTCCCTGCTAATGCATAATCTGGGAGGTGGCAGGTGATGGCTCAAGTGCTTGAGTCCCTGTCACCCATGTGAGAAAGCTAGACTGAGTGCTGGATTCAGGCTGGCCCAGTCCTGGATGTTGGGGGTATTGGTGAGTGAATCAGTGAATGGAAGATCTGTGTGTGTGTGTGTGTGTGTGTGTCTAAGCCTTTCAAATAAAATGAAAATTTTAACCAAAATGAACTAGACTCTTCCATGCTCAGTGTGTGCTTTCTGTTGCATTAAGGTGCATATGCGGAAACTAGTGTCTTTGGCCCTTGTGCTTTCCAGTGCAAATGTTGTGGGGGAGGGCTCTGACCAGTGATGCATCCAGGCCACGCCTCTTTGATGAGGCTCACAGAGGAAGCAATCCCCTCCTCTCTTGGAGCACCTGTTGCTGGGTTGCCACAGAAGAGAAAGAAGACACTGAAGGGGACGTTTATCCTCCTGCCTTTGTTTTTCTCGAGTCTGACTCCACGCTCCAGTCCCCTCCTTGCTCCATGGCCATGCTTTGGGGAAGTAAACACCATCTGTGTCTATGTGTGTGTATTACACAAGTCCTATTTGCACTATTTTTTAATTAGGTTATTGGCATTGGAAGGACATTTTTCTAGGTACATCAGATTTATACTATATATCATTGTCTTTCCTCTCCAATGAAAGAAGCAGTGGCTGTGTGAGAGGGGGACACAGCCAGCAGGATGAATAATCCTTCCCTCAAAAGATGTGTGCACGTCCACCTGCCAGTTTGCAGCTCTGCCCCTGACTGCCCCTCTAGCCAATGTCTTTGCACCCTCAAAAATGGCAACGCTCCCAGCAACAGGTCAGCAGCTGCGCTCTCCCTCTGCCACCCATTCCTGCAGATGTCACCTCACCTGATGCCCTGACTCAGCAAACCCTGCCAGCTGCTCAGCTTCCCTCCTGACTTGTGATGAGGGTGTCTGTTGCTATGGGTTGCTGACCAGCTTCTGCTATCCCCGCGATGCTCTCCAGGCCTGGTGGGGGTCTGTCTCAGGATGAGCACTGGCTCTGGGAGGGGGGCTGGTCCTCTCTGGGGATGAACACCACCAGCCCCTGAACGGCTAGCAGGCTGCCTGCCAAGTGCTGATGTCAATGAAACACTTGTGAAGTGCATGTGTTCACATCTGTGACATGTCCATGTGCGGTCTCAGAGGGAATTCCTGCTAAGCAGACCTGTCTTGTTCGCAGGGCTCTCACGGTGTGCTGGCTCATGCTGGCAGCCTTCCGGAGGACTTTGTGCATCCGTCTCACTCTGCAGAGTCTTCTCAGCAGCAGGCGTGGGGCTGCCGTGCAGAAGAGGACCCACCTGACCTTGCCCTGGAGTAGGAGTTGTTCTATCAGTCAAAGGAGCTTTTCCTATCCTACAGGCATTGTGTATTCTAATAGATCTCTTCCAACTCTAATCACTAACAATCAAGATGACTCTGCAAAAGAAATGGGAAGAATTTTTTAAAAGAACGATAATGTACTATACTGTGAAATCACACAACATCGACTTGCATACTCACTTGCTGAAGTCTCCGTTTTGGCGCATCCCGGGGTTCACCGTGTCATTCTGCATTTCTCTTCCCTCTGTAAATCACTGGGAAGGGCGAGGAAGGGAAGAGGCAGCCAGATGCATTAAACATGCAGACGTCTTCTTGAAACTAAAAAGCGCAAATGCTGCGTGAGTGTTTGTTTGGCCTAATGATTAAGACGCTGCCTAGGAGGCTCACATCCCATATCAGAGTGCCTGGGTTCGAGTCCCGGCTCCATTTGGTTCTCCAGCTTCTGGCTAATGTGCACCCTGGGAGGCAGCACGCAATGGCTCAAGTAATTGGGTTCCTGCCACCCAGGTGGGAGACCTGCATTAAGTATCCAGATCTCAGTTTTTGGGGAGTGAACCATCAGATGGAAGATATTTCTCTCTCTGTCTCTCCTCTTCTCCCTGTGTCACTCTGCCTTTCAAATAAATAAACCATCTTTAAACAAAGAAAGTAAGATAATCTGGACAGTTCAAAGAGAAGACTGTTCAAACTGACTGCAGTTTCTAACCAACCATAGTAATCTCGCTTTTGCTCCTTGAAATGAGGCTCTGACACACTCCTGAAGGACACGGAGCTTTGCTCTTCACTCCCGAGCCAGTGTGCTGTGTTCCTCGGGGAGCGCCAGCGTTTGATTCAGGGAGCTGTGCAGGGGGAGCAGAAGCCTGCTCAATAGCTAAGGAGCCTGCAGAGAGCACACTCTGGCACTCTATTCATTTACCCTCAAGTAAATATATAAATCAAGCTTTTAAAAGAGATGAGGGGTGGGCTCTAACTGCACAATTTCTGATCCAATAGCTCTGTGGTGGAGCCCCAGGGTTAAATTTCTTAAAGGTTCCCAGATGGTACTGATACTGCTGGCCCCAGGAGTACACTTTGAGAACCAATGAGTTAGGGGTATTTTGAGGACTAAAGTTAAAATTCAAATCCTTAGTTAGTAGTACTTTTTTTAAGATTTATTTTATTTATTTGAAAGACAGAGTTACAGAGAGAGGTAGAGACAGAGAGAAAGGTCTTCCATCCTCTGGTTCACTCCCCAGATGGTCGCAATGGCCAGAGCTGCACCTATCCAAAGCCAGGAGCCAGGAGCTTCTTCTGGGTCTCCCACGTGGGTGCAGGGGCCCAAGGACTTGGGCTGTCTTCCACTGTTATCCCAGGCCATAGCAGAGAGCTGGATCGGAAGAGGAGCAGCTGGGACTTGAACTGGAGCCCATATAGGATGCCAGCGCCTCAGGCCAGGGTGTTAACCTGCTGCACCACAGCGCTGGCCCCAGTTAGTAATACTTTAAAATGCTTACTTGAGGGCCGGCGCCGCGGCTCACTAGGCTAATCCTCCACCTTGCGGTGCCAGCACACCGGGTTCTACTCCCGGTCGGGGTGCCGGATTCTGTCCCGGTTGCCCCTCTTCCAGGCCAGCTCTCTGCTGTGGCCAGGGAGTGCAGTGGAGGATGGCCCAAGTCCTTGGGCCCTGCACCCCATGGGAGACCAGGAGAAGTACCTGGCTCCTGCCATCGGATCAGCGCGGTGCGCCGGCTGCAGCACGCCGGCCGCGGTGGCCATTGGAGGGTGAACCAACGGCAAAGGAAGACCTTTCTCTCTGTCTCTCTCACTGTCCACTCTGCCTGTCAAAAAAATAAATAAAATAAAATAAAATAAAATGCTTACTTGATGACACAAGCTTAAATTGATCCTGAATTAATAATAATAATAATTAATGATAACTACCATGTATTAAGTACTTGCTATGGGCCTGTCATTAATTACATCTCATTTAATCATCATGATATTTTAAGAGTTGATTGTGATGAATTCCAATTTTTAGGAGAGGAAATCTAAGCTTAGAGAGAATCAATGCAACTTAATTAATAGCAAACGGTGGCAGTAGGATTTGAACCCAGATCTCTTTCTCTGAAGAAGTCAACGCATGCTGTTGACAAGCTTTGAAATAATCCAAGGGTCAAGGAGGCCAAAAGCTTTAGACCAAGATTCCCAAGGCTCTCCTTAGCATATTTGGAGGCTCCGTGTCAGCCAAGGATCTGATTTGACTTGTCCTATGTACCGGGAGGAGAAATCTTACACTGGAGCCAGCAATTTAGAATCTCCCCTAGACACAATGACCATATGACCGACAGAGGCCCTCAAATGACCTCGGTCTTTTGAAGGTCTTGCAGGATTTCTGCAAGGATCTGCTTCAGGACAGTGGACTTTAGGATGGCAGGTGGGCCTTGCTAAGGAAGGGTGAATCCAAGACAAACCGCAGCCCAGAGAGACGGACAGAGGAGAGCCTGGGGCGGGGCTTCTCAGACTTTGCGAAGATCAGAATTCCCTGGGAGCCCAACAGATGCCCTAGGCACTCCACAGGGATGGGGCCTGGGCCTCTGCACTTGTTATTAGCACTCTGGGAGACTGAGGCACATCAAAGTTTGCAAACTACTACCCAGACAGTGCTTCCAAACTTGAATCCCCAGACTAATCACTTTGGGGTTTGGTAGGTCAGGAGTGGGCAGAGACTGGATGTTTTTAACAAGCTGCCCATTGCTAGCCGGCGCCGTGGCTCACTAGGCTAATCCTCTTCCTTGCGGCGCTGGCACACCGGGTTCTAGTCCCGGTTGGGGTGCCGGATTCTGTCCTGGTTGCCCCTCTTCCAGGCCAGCTGTCTGCTGTGGCCCGGGAGTACAGTGGAGGATGGCCCAGGTGCTTGGGCCCTGCACCTGCATGGGAGTCCAGGAGAAGCACCTGGCTCCTGCCTTCAGATCAGCGCGGTGCGCCGGCCGCAGCGCACTGGCCGCTGTGGCCATTGGAGGGTGAACCAACGGCAAAGGAAGACTTTTCTCTTTGTCTCTCTCTCTCACTGTCCACTCTGCCTGTCAAAAAAAAAAAAAAAAAAAAGCCACCCATTGCTGATGAGTAGCAAGCTCTTTAAACATCTAAACTTTTTTTTTTTTTTAAAGCATTACAACTCTTTCTTTAACAAAGTCTCAGGAAAAGCTAAGATATAATACATCACGTCTGTCCTCCTGGAGACCCCTAAGACTCTTCTCCCACTCCTCTGGGCTCAGGAGAATACTGATTTAAAGCAACCATCAGCCTGGGAATAGGTTCTAAGAATCTGTAGGTTCTAAGAATGTATTGTTCATTAAAGATCAGGGCTTCTTATCAATAGCATTTGGGGAGACTTTAAGCAATTTTTAAGAATGAGAAGCTTCCTCATTATTTTTTGTTTTCAATAAAGCCAGATCTGTTCTTGCTGTAGTTATAGGAAAACAAGATCTGAAAACTCAATGGAGGTGGCACTTACTTCAGCTGTGCAGATGGGGCGGGTCCTGGGAAGAGTACGCCTTGCTGTGCTCAGAGAAGCAGTGGACCAAGAGAACAAGGGAACCCAGACAGAGAACCAGCAGTGGAGCGAGACGGCAGGACTAGGGTTGCCAGTGGAAGGAGTTGGTGCAGGGGAGCTGGCCCCCTGCCTGGTGGAGCTTCTCGGCAGGAAGTCTCCATGTCCACCACTCTCTGAAGTTCAAGGTCTGACTCGGGTTGTGGGGGAGAGTTCTACAGTTTGAGGTCAATAATATTCCCTGCATTTTTTCCCCAAAGGCCATAAACCAAGATATCCCCTAGAAGAGTGTGGCAAGGATTCTTCCTGTCTCTGTGACCATCTGCCCTGCCCAGGAGTAACCTCGGTGGCGGCGATCAAAATTGCCTGGAGCAGCCCTGAGCAAAACTGGGGTGGCACCAAGGGTCATCTTGACTCCGACTCCTCCGGCACCTCCTTTTCTCTCCTGTGCATCCCCACCCAGCCAGCCAGAAGCAAACACCCCCTTCTCCTTTCAGGCTGTGAACAGTGTCCCTGTAACGTCGGGCCACCAAACGTGTTGTTGGCCTGGCAGCATTGGCATTGCCACCACATCACCCAGTCTCAGATCCTCCCCAGGGCGACCAGACCAGGATCTGCCCCGCCCGAGCCCCGCCCCCATACCCTGTGATTTGTAGGCACCAGCATGTCAGAGAAGCCCTGCTCTAAAGCAGCGCTCTCAGGTTGGGCTACACTTCGGGGTCCATTGAGGAGCTGCTGAGGATGCTGGTGTCCAGCCTCCACCCCAGGCCAGAGTCCAGGCTCTCCACATGACTCCAGCAGACAGCAGGACTGGGAACCACTTTCTGAAGGAGGGCTTAAGCAGCTGCCTCACCAAAAAAAAAAAAAAAAATAGATTTACATTTTCCTGCCAGACCCTACAATATGGAAAAGACTTCAGAATCCAGAGGAATTCATCTCAACTGGTGGAATCTAAGGAGAGGCACTCTATAGAGGAGCGAGGCCCGGGGGTGGAGAGCAGGAAGCCCTCACATCTGAAATAGAAAGGATGTGCCTTTCTGACCAACTGAAGAGTCAACTTTGAGCCCAACCTCGTTGTTGCCCCAGAATGCAACAGCAAAAAGTCCCTTCTATATTATCCATAAGAAATAAAACGACTTACCCATTCCAAGGGTACTTCCAGAGCAGGTTACTGTAATAAATAAAAATATAAGCATTGAAAATATATTACTGGGGCAGGTGTTGTGACGCAGCAGGCCAAGCCTCCACTTGAGATGCTAGCCTCCCACACTGGAGCACCAGTGCGAGCCCTGGGTCCTCTGCTTCCACTCCAGCTTCCTGCTAATGTGCCTGGGAGGCAGCAGATGATGGTTCAAGTACTTGGGCCCCTGCCACCCACGTGGGAAACCAGGATGGAGTTCCTGGGTCCCGGCTTCAGTCTGGCCAAGCACCAGCTGTTGTAACCATTTGGGGGAGTGAACCCCAACCCAGTGGATGGAAGACTTCTCTCTCTCTCTTTCTTTCTCTCTGTCACTTTGCCTTTTAAATAAATAGGTGTATCATGTGTGTATACATACATATATATATATATGGATTTTTTTAGATGGCTAAGATATAACTTAAGAAATAATAAAAGGGAGCCAGCACCGCGGCTCACTAGGCTAATCCTCCGCCTTGCGGCACCGGCACACTAGGTTCTAGTCCCGGTCGGGGCGCCAGATTCTGTCCCGGTTGCCCCTCTTCCAGGCCAGCTCTCTGCTGTGGCCAGGGAGTGCAGTGGAGGATGGTCCAAGTCCTTGGGCCCTGCACCCCATGGGAGACCAGGATAAGTACCTGGCTCCTGCCATCGGATCAGCGCGGTGCGCCGGTGGCGGCGGCCATTGGAGGGTGAACCAACAGCAAAAGGAAGACCTTTCTCTCTGTCTCTCTCTCACTGTCCACTCTGCCTGTCAAAAAAAAAATTAAAAAAAAGAAGATATAATAAAAAGAAAGTGAACCAAAGAACGAGTAAGAACAAACTTGGGTGATGAGAAAGGAGGATCATCTTGGGCAAGTCGCTTCATCCTACCTCAGCTTATCTACAAAGTGATGAGAATAAGAACAGCAACTTCACAGTTTGTTGTAAAGATTAATAGAGTTAATACTTGTAAAGCTCTTAGGATAAGTAATTTACTGTTTCTAATATTATCCTGATTATCCAGTTAACGCCTCACTAATACTGCACAAGACCTCAAACAACAATCAAAAACAAAAGTCCCAGGGCCAGCGCCATGGCACACTAGGTTAATCCTCCACCTGTGGTGCCGGCATCCTATGTGGGCCCCGGTTCTAGTCCCGGTTGCTCCTCTTCCGGTCTGGCTCTCTGCTGTGGCCTGGGATAGCAGTAGAAGATGGCCCAGGTGCTTGGGCCCCTGCACCCGCATGGGAGACCAGGAAGAAGCTCCTGGCTCCTGGCTTCGGATCGGCACAGCTCTGGCCATGCGGCCATTTGGGGAGTGAACCAACGGAAGGAAGACCTTTCTCTCTGTCTCTCTCTCTCTCGCTGTCTGTAACTCTACCTGTCAAATAAAAAAACAGAATCTTAAAAAAAAAAAAAAAAAAAGTCCCTCAAAGCATGGTTTGTACCAGGGAAACTGCGCAAAGGTCGATTCTCTAACCTGTGTCTAGACACCTAATCCTTGCTGGGGTGAAGTGGTTGCGGCTTGTGCCACACCCCCTCCTGGATATCAGAGTTCTAACTAACAAGGGCTTCTGGTGACTAACAAGCCGTCAGAGGGTTGAATTGTGGGCATGGAGTGAGAGAAAAAACCAAAGACACCATGGCTCACTTACTTGGCTGCATGATCATAGGCACATAGCCCCATTTATTTATTCTTTATTTCCTTTAGAATATACTGGGCAAGAGTTGTCTGCTAAGGGCTGAGAAGGATCAACACCTGCTCAATGCACAGTAAGGGAGAGAGGGAGGGGGCAACCCCGCCCATGAGAATTGGAAGAGGCTTCACAGAGATACATGGGAGTTTGGGCTGGAGGAGGCTTCTTGGTGGAGGTGGGGTAGAATTCCAGCGAACAGAAGAGCACTGCGTGTGCTCAGGAACGTAACATAGCACAGCACGTGTGTGTGTGTGTGTGTGTGTGTGTGTGCTGGGGCAGGTGCTGTGGATGATCCCGTGAAGCTGGACCAAGGGCTGTCCAGCACGGTGGCCACTCACACGTAACCACCGAGCACTCAAAATGTGCCCAGTCTGATCTGAGGTGTGCCATAAGCATAAAACACACACCAGATTGTCAAAGGCTTTATATGAGAAGGCAAAACATCATAGTAATTTTCATATGGATTAGATGTTAAAATAGTATTTGAGATGTGTTAGATGAACTAAAATGTATTATTAAATTAATTTTTACCTCTTTTTTAGTGTGGCTACTAGCAGATTTAAATTTCTCATCTATAAGCCGGCGCCGCGGCTCAATAGACTAATCCTCCGCCCTGTGGCGCCGGCACACCGGGTTTTAGTCCTGGTCGGGGCGCCGGATTCTGTCCCGGTTGCCCCTCTTCCAGGCCAGCTCTCTGCTGTGGCCAGGGAGTGCAGTGGAGGATGGCCCAAGTCCTTGGGCCCTGCACCCCATGGGAGACCAGGAGAAGCACCTGGCTCCTGCCATCAGGTCAGCGCGGTGCGCTGGCTGCGGCGGCCATTGGAGGGTGAACCAACGGCAAAAGGAAGACCTTTCTCTCTGTCTCTCTCTCTCACTGTCCACTCTGCCTGTCAAAAAAAAAAATTTCTCGTCTATGGCTCATGTTAAGTTTCTATTGCATGGCGCAGAGGTAGACAGACACATAGGATAGATTATGAGGAACTTTGAATGCCTTTGCTCAGATGACTGAATTCCATGGGACAATGGAAAACTCCCGAAGGTAGTGAGGCATGAGAGTGACACAACCAGATCAGGTCCTGGCGGGACAACTCTGGTAATGGCCTGGAGGCAGGACTGTGCTGTGGTCTAGGGGTGAGGCGGGAGGGCCTAGCACAGACAACTGTGGGAGGGAAGAGAAGGCAGACTTAGAAGCCATCAGGCAGGTGAACAGGACAGGAACTGGAGACAGCTTGGAGATGGAGGGTAAGGGAGAGGGAAGGCGACTCCAGGGTTTTCAGCCCATGCACCTGATCAGAGACAAAACACCTGGGGCACCTCCAGGTTGGGGAGAAGGAGGGGAGTATAGATTCAGAGGAGTGGAGCAGCGAAGGGTTTAAGTAGAGAGTGGGAGCCTCTGTGTGTGTGTCCTCATTTTTAAACTGCAGATACAAATCTGCTGAACTAAGACCAGCATAGTGCCTTAATCAGTTAAGTTACCACTTGGGACTCCAGCATCCCATATTGGAATTTGAGTCCTGGCTGCTCTGCTTTCAACCCAGCTTCCTGCTTATGTGTGTGGGAAGGCAGCAGAAGATGGCCCGAATACTTGGGCCCCTGCCACCCATGTGGGAAACCAGCATGAAATTCCTGGCTCCTCACTTCAGCTTGGCCTTGCCCTGGCTGCTGCAGCCATTTGGGGAGTGAATCAGTGAATGGAAGATCTCTCTCTCTCTGTTTCTCTCTCCCTCTCCCTCTCTCGCTGTGTGTATATCTCTGTCACTCTGCCTTTCAAATAAATAAATTCAAATGTCTGTTTAAACTACCTCTTAGCATTTTTGAGCATTCAGTAAGATATTAAATGTGGAAACACTTGATAATTTTGTAAAATATTATGCAAATGTGATGAAATGTTGTTACTGAGCTGTAGGCTCCTCTTCCTAAGAGCTCATCCTCTCCCCCCCCTTTTTTTTTTTTAAGATTTATTTATTTATTTGAAAGTCAGAGTTACAGAAAGAAAGAAAAGGCAGAGAGAGAGAGAGAGGTCTTCCATCCAATGGTTCACTCCCCAGTCGGCCTCAAAGGCCGGAGCTGTGCCGATCTGAAGCCAGGAGCCAGGAGCTTCTTCCGGGTCTCCCACGCAGGTGGAGGGGCCCAAGGACTTGGACCATCTTCTACTGCTTTCCCAGGTCATAGCAGAGAGCTGGATCGGAAGTGGAGCAGCCGGGTCTCCACAGGCGCCCATGTGGGATGCTGGCGCTTCAGGCCAGGGCGTTTAACCCACTGCGCCACAGCGCCAGCCCCCATCCTCACCCTAAGATCTGATTCCTGTCCATCCCGAAGGGCTGTGCTTTTGGTTGGCCTGTCCTATGGACAAGATAATGAAAAAACAAGGAATCGGAGCATGACAGCCAAGGACAGCGAGAACACTCCCTCAGGAATAGCTGGCCTTGCTCCATTACCAAGAGCCATGTTATCCACATACAACAGGAGTTTTAAAACTCTGGTAAAAGTTTGTGAGTCAATATTTATTCCTCTTCCTGTATCTACCTGCAAAGTTCTAGGGCTTCAAAATTGCATTATTTTCTTTTAGAAATGCATGAAAAATACCTGACTGTGCCCTGGGTCAGGTAACAGAAGGCGCTGGAACACAGAGCAGGAGAAGTGCCAGTGTTTCTCTGCCAGCTCTGGCGAGACACATCGCCAACAGCCATGTACTGTGATCACAAACGGCCTGCTCATTTGCATTTCCAAACCTCGCTTGTCATTTATAAGCTCATTTTCTCCTGATTCTCCTACTTTTCCTCAGCCTGTGCAAATAAAAGTTCCCACATTCCAGGTGTCTATCATTATCTCTAATACTATATTACAATTCCATCCCCAAGTCTTAAAAGCAAAAAATCATTTTAAATTTGCTCCAACTTGGATTATAGTCCCAGCTCCCAGATTTGGCCTGGCCCAGCCCCAGCAGTTGGGAAGCAAATTAGTGAATGGAACTTTTCTGTCTCTTGACCTCTCAAATAAATAATTTTTTAAAATAGGGTGGGGCATTTGGCTTAATGATTAAGACACCTGCATCCCATAATCAGGGTAGTCGGGTTCACACCCAGCTCCAGTTCCTGCCTCTAGCTTCCTGCTAATGTGGACCCTGGGAGGCAGCAGGTGATGGCTGGAGTGGTTGGGTCGCTGCCACCCATCTGGTAGACCTGCACTGAGGTCCTAGTCTCTGGTTTCAGCTCAGCCCAGTTCCAGCCATTGCAGGCATGTGGGGACCGAACGAGTGAATGGGAGCTGTTTGTCTCTCTGCTTTTCAAATAAATGAATTTTTTAAAAAAATAAATACAAAACAGAATAACATTGCTCTACTACTTAAGCAGCAGCCATCTCTCCTGAAGAGGGAGAAAAATTGGAAAGGAAGAGAAGAGTGTTTCCAAATCAAATAACGATAGAACATCACAATTCCAGAGAAACGTGGGGACCCTTGCCACATGTAGACATATTACACCCTCTCTGAGCTTCCTGTATAGCAAATAAGTGTGATTGTGAGTTTCAATGCACAGATAGGAGCTGAGGGTTTTAAATCAAGGATCATAACTTGCTTTACCTGAATATATTTTCTTTGGGCAGAAAGTAAGCTTTAGTCCCGTTTCGGCAACTGGGGAGACCATCACGGTATACACGTCCCCGCAGGGGATCTCTGTGACGTCACAGAAACTGAGGCCAGCACCCGGGGCACATGTGAAAATGCCTTTGGAGCCATAGAGGTCAGTGCTGTAATTGGCAGAGCTCCTGGAGGCTTGCCAGTAGATCCGGATGCCATTAGGGCCCAGCCTATATAACTTCACCCCCAAAGGGCAGCAGGCACCTGCAGGAGCAAAATGACACAAAATCCTACTCCACCATCATGCAAATGTGACCTCTCACTACGGGCAAACAATGTAAGTAAACTACCCTAAGCAGTATGATTAATTACTGGTTAGGTGAGAGCAAGATTTGAAGAGTACTCAAGTTCTTTCTGTGCTCGGTCACATGATCAGAAACCCATGAGTGAGGGTGGTGTGAGCTGTGAGGTTTTTTGTTTTGTTTTGTTTTGTTTTGTTTTGTTTTTGACAGGCAGAGTGCCAGTGAGAGAGAGACAGAGAGAAAGGTCTTCCTTTTGCCATTGGTTCACCCTCCAATGGCCGCCGCAGCCAGTGTGCTGCGGCCGGCGCACCGCGCTGATCCGAAGCCAGGAGCCAGGTACTTATCCTGGTCTCCCATGGGGTGCAGGGCCCAAGCACTTGGGCCATCCTCCACTGCACTCCCGGGCCACAGCAGAGAGCTGGCCTGGAAGAGGGGCAACCGGGACAGAATCCGGCGCCCTGACCGGGACTAGAACCCGGTGTGCCGGCGCCACAAGGTGGAGGATTAGCCTATTGAGCCACGGCGCCGGCAAGCTGTGAGTTTTGACATAAAGCTATAGCGAATCCAGAAGGTCCACACTTGGAGAGTGGCTCTTAGCCTAGCGATTAAGATGCTCGTAGGCCACATGAGTTCCCGGCTTTGATTCTTGGTTCCAGCTCCTGACTCCAGCTTCCTGCTCATGCAGATCCCGTAGGCAGCTGTGACGTTTCAAGTGACTGGGTTCCTGCCACCCATGTGGGAGACTTGGAGTGAGTTCCTGGCTCCTGCCTTCTGTGCCTCTCCCAGCACAGGGCCATTGCTGGGATTTAGAGAATGAATCAGAGGCTGGAATCTCAATCTCTCTCTCTCTCTCTCTCTCTCTCTCCCTCTCTCTCTTTCTCTCTCTCCCTGTCTCTCAAATAACTGAAAAATAATTTTAAAGTATTTTAAAAGGTCCATACTTGACAGATGCATACTGTATAGTATATGACTCAAACTGTGACTCAGACAAATTCTTGCAAAGATCCTCATAATGCCTTAGTTTCATTTTATTTTAGTGGGGTGAAGCTTAATTTAAGTAGCATTAATTTCATTTAGCTTCAATCAAAAAGAACAGTTTTGCTGAGTTGAGTAGCAAGATACCTTAGAAACAGCCACGTAGGCTGGTGACCAAGTTTGCTGGTGCGCTTTTCATCAGTGCTAGCTGATCAGGTACTTTTTGTTCTTTCCTGAATATCTTGAGCAATGCCACATATTAGCTGTGAAACAGGGCACTAAATAGTATTGATTCCTCAGTGTCTAAAATGAACAACTTATTATATAATTTTTAAAAATTGTTGGGTGGGTGCTTGACAAAGCAGCTGGGACACGGGGAGCCCATATTGAAGTGCCTGCGTTGAAGCCTCCACTCCAATTCCAGTTTCAGCTTCTTGATAATGTGCATCCTGGGAAGCACCAGGCGATGGCTCACGTACTTGGGTCTCTGTCTTCTACACTGGAGACTTAGCTTGAGTTCCTGGCCCCTGAATTAAGCCTGGCCCAGTCCCACTGTTGCAGGTATTGAGGGAGTGAACTGAGAGATGGAGATCTCTCTCTTTCTCTTCCTTTCAATAAGATAAAATAAATAAATAACTTTTAATTGCTATAATCAGGTTTTTTTTTTACTTATTCCTTAAGAATATTTTTTAGTTATAAAGATAAGTAACGGGCTGCCTTGATAGAACCACCTAGCCAGATGAGAACTTTAGCAGTGAATCTAATGGAAGTAATAGACCAAAAGAAAGAACAAGCCAACTTTCCCATGTGCAGCATGTTATAAGTTATTTCATATTATGATGTATTTTGATTCTCAAAACAACTTGGAGGGAGGAGCTAGGGAGATATTTTTTCTTAAACTTAACTTATTTATTTGAGAGACAGAGAGAAAACTCCCACTTGCTGGATCACCCCTTAAATGCCCTCAATGGCTGGGCCTGGGCTGATGCCAAAACTGGGAACCAGGAACTCATCTGGGTCTTCCACACAGGTGGCAGGAACTCAATTATTTGAGCCATCAGCACTTCCTCCCTGGGTCTGCATTAGCAGGAATCGAGAGTCAGCAGCCAGGAATCAAACCCAGTACTTTTTTTTTTTTTTTTTTTGACAGGCAGAGTGGACAGTGAGAGAGACAGAGAGAAAGGTCTTCCTTTGCTGTTGGTTCACCCTCGAATGGCCGCCGTGGCCGGTGCACCGCGCTGATCCGATGGCAGGAGCCAGGTGCTTCTCCTGGTCTCCCATGGGGTGCAGCTTGGGCCATCCTCCACTGCACTCCCTGGCCACAGCAGAGAGCTGGCCTGGAAGAGGGGCAACCAGGACAGAATCCGGCCAAACCCAGTACTTCTATGTGGACAGCTTAACCACTGGGCCAAATATCCACCTCCAGGAAAGCATTCAAATTCCTATTATTTTCTTAGCAATGAGGAGATAGAGAAGACAACACAGGTTATAAGAAGCCATGTCTCAGTTAGACACCCAGCTGGGATGCCAAAGTGATGTTCAACTCCATCCCACGCCCAGGGCACAGCTACCTAACGGATGCTTATACGCTTTCTCCTACAGCCCAGAAAGCGTCCCCAGGAGCTTCTTTCCAAACAGTGCTCCCACAGCCGCTTTAGTGGATTACAGTCACGAAGAGGAATCTTCCTTGCTAACCCTGCACCGCTTTCACTTCCATCTGCTGTCCCCTGATGGTTCACCTGTGAGACGAACAAGGAACAATACTGTCCATATTCCCCTGCTTTGCGCTGTCTGTGGAAGAAACCACAGAAAGAGCTGGAGTGGATCAAGGGAGAGAGCTAGGAACATAGTAATAAGGAGAATGGGGGAAAAAAGCGAACCAAATAGAATGTGCGGTGAGATGCTTTCTGAGTACTCTGCTAGGCTGAGTTACTCTGTGCTGCAGGCGGCTGTGTCTTACGACATGTGTCAGCCCTTTGGAAAACCTGAATCCTAACCTGCTCTAGGGGCATTCATTCATACCTACCAATAGAACCCCCAGAAGCCTTGAGGTTTTAAGTCAAGAGAAAAACTGTGAACATCTTAGGAAGTAATCTGAATGTATAATGCAAGCTAGGTGGAAATGCAACGTCTTAAAAAAGAAGGAAGGGTTTATGATTGGATTTAGAATAGTCAGGTCCTCACTGACGTCGTGGAGCTGGAGTTCGAATTCACTTACTGGGGCTGGTGTACTGGTGTAGTGGGTAAAGCCGTTCCCTGCGGTGCCGGCATCCCGTATGGGTGCCAGTTCGAGTCCTGGTGATCCAGCTCCCTGATAATGTGCCTGGGAAAGTAGCGGAAAATGGCTCAAGTGCTTAGGCCCCTGCACTCATGTGGGAGACCAGGAAGAAGTTCCTGGCTACTGGCGTTGTCTTAGTTTTGCCCTGGCTGTTGCGGCCATTTGGGCAGTACCAGCTGATGGAAGATCTGTCTGTCCCGCTCTGTCTCTATAACTCTGACTTTCAAATAAGTAAAAAGAAAAAAGAAAAAGAAAAAGAGAATTCACTTACTAGAGGAATAGCTTTGGAAGGCACAGTCCGCAGTCAAGCCAGTGGCACTGATTGCTTTTAATGCCACTGTGTAATTGATCCCACAGGTGATGCATCCCAGGAGGCAGTGGTTTTGATGGGTGTGGCACTTAGACTGTCCAGTCTGCGACTCAAGAACTGTCAGGTAGGTTTGGGCCACGGTCCCAATAGTCCAACTCACATTGATAACTGATTGGGTAACCTGAGTCACTGTCAGACCGACTGGACAGCATGGCACTTAAATAGAGAGAGAGAAGAAGAAGGGATTTATTTTCATGGAAAGTTAATTTGTGAAAAATGACCAAGGAGAGCATTTTTCTTGTGTTCTAAATTGTTCTAAAATGTTCTAAATTTCCGAAGGTGTCACTGATTGATCAAGTGTTTCCCTCTGCTCCATTGTGTAATATCAACTGTGTGTCCGGGGGCTTTCCCTGAGAAGGCTGGGCAGCAACTGGCTGGGAGTAACGGCAGGTTTCCCCTAGTCTTTATTTATTTTTTTTCAGGAAAACTAAAAAACCCTCTGCTGACCCCAACATGAGTAATTCCAAGTGCAAATTTTAAAGCAACAGTTGCCCTCATCTCTTCTCCCAGTGCAACCCTGTGCAGCATTTGCAGTGAAATGTGGTTTGCTTTCTTGTGTATTTCCTGCTACATCCCTGATCTAAAAGCTTGATTTCTTGGCCACCTAAGGTACCACAGCCATCTCAACATTTCAGCAATCCCTTGTACAGGGTATAAAACATCTAGAATTGCCCTTCTATTTGGTATTATCTCCTTTTTGCTGCTTTTTCCCCCCCAGGGGTTTCAACTTGTACAGTTCAAAGTGCTGTATCTCATTGAATGTAAGAGAAGACAATGTCCAAAGGCTTTACTCAATTTGCAAAATTGCGTTCATTCACTACACTTTGAAGCAGTAACTTTTCTTTTGTGGGGCTCTTCCTGTGTATGCATCAGGCACTTTGCTAAGCACCTTGCAGCATTAACTTAAATTAACTTAATATCAAGGCTAATTAAATCAATGTTAATCGAATTGACTTGGTATTAACATTGATTGAATTAAGTGAGGTTGGCTTAATGTTCATATCCACTCTATGAGACCAGTTACCAATTAGGAAACTGAAATTCAGACAGCATTTTTAGAGAAAGATTTGAAAGGTCTGAGCCAACAAATTAAATAATAAATCAGCTCATTTGGTTACTCGTTAGCTGCTTTCAAAGATTGGAAAATGAATCCCCAGAAGTGTTTTTGCAGAGTCAACGGACTCCTATCCCTCCCTTGATGCCAATATACCAGTGTCTTTTCATGATATTTTCCCAGACGCTGTAAAAATGCTGTCAATTTTGCTTTTGAAGACTGGGCTCTTTGAAAGGCCCCTGAGTTTCACGTGTATCCATCTCAGGGTAAATTAAGCAAGAAAGCTCATAGCTGGAATCCGTTCCTACGTTCCCCCGCCAACTGAAGTCCATATTCAGGTTGGTGTTACGTACCTGTTTCCAGGGGCACACTGTAGCTGGGCAGGCTCCGTCCTGCCTGTGTTTCTGCCACAGCGGTGACAGAGAACACTGAGCCGCAGGGCAGGGCCCCCATGGTACACGACTCTCCCGTGCTGCTGCACCAGTACAGCCCTTTCTCCCCCTGGGCAGTCACAGTGTAGATAGCGTCATCATTCACGGATTGCCAGTGCACATTAATCATGGAGAACGCATCCTTTGAAACATTTTTTATTTCAGGACTGCAAGGAGCTAAGAGATTTTTTTAGATTATTGATTGAAATAACATGAGTCAAAAATATCACATGTGCCATTTGGTCTAAATCTGTTTTTTTTTCTCCCCCAAATGAGATCATCATTACTTTTAACCAGACTATGCATTTAGCCCACAAGGAGGAGGAACCGAGTGACTGGGGTAACTACTAGCAGATCTTCCATTCTCCCCATGGTCTCCCCTTTTGTTTCCTGTTTTTCTACTTTCCTCTTCCACCTTCTCCTCTGCCTGTCCTTGGCACAGCAGGGACCCTAGGGGTCTCCATGAGAGTGGTTAATGGAGTTAACCATTCTGTAGGCCTGGCTGAATGCCACAGATGGGGTGACTCCTTCAGACACAGTGATAATATCCTGGGAGTACCATACCTGTGGTTATAGGTTGGGCCATGCAGGATGTATTGCTGCCCCGGATGTCACTGAGTGAATACACTGTGATGTTGTATTTGGTGTCACACTCTAGAGCTGACAGGGTGCACGCGGGAACAGTGTCGTTACATTCAACCACATTGGATCCATCGACAGCCTTGGTTTCGTAGAGTTCGGCACCACGGACAGGAGACCAGACAATCTCTACTCTGTCGCTGGACACCATCACGGGGTTGATGTCACTGGGACAACAAGGAGCTGAAAGCAGGAGCCGGGATGGAATGGGTGAAGGTCAGTGCAGAGGCAAGGCCACCAGAGGTGGCACTGTGTCCTGACCTCACCACGTCTGGGACTTCTGCCACTACCCTCCGAAACCACTGCAGTAACCGTCTGTCCTGTTCCAATCTTGGCTCAACGCCTACTGCACAGAGGCTAAATCCTCAGCACGACCTTGGACGCCATCACAAACTGAGTGTTCACCTGTGCCTCCCCCAGCGCCGCCCCGTGACCCACGTGTGCCCTTACTTCTGTGCTCCTTGAGGACGGCTGGCCCCTCCGCTAGAAAGCCTTTCCCCTCCTGTTCCGTGACGAAGTCACGCCGGTCTCGCTAGTCAGGTCCTGTCACTCTTTTCCAGACACCAAACCAGAAAAAGCCAGAGGTGGGGAGGGGACGGGGCGGGGAGCTGGAGTTGTCTTAAATCTTAGCACAGACCTGGACGACTTCCACTGACAAATGTCTAACTCAATCTGGAGTCTCTCTGGAGTGCTCTTGCCCCACCTGTGTTCCACGCATCCTTAAACATCCAGTTCAAGTCCACTCCTCTGGAAGGCCTTTCTGTGTTCTTAAGACCTTAGCAATAGTCTCTTTCCCCAAATTCCAACATCATCAATTATTTGAGTCCCTTATCCTGATAAAATATATTATAATATCCAGCCAGTATTTTATATAATTATATTAAAATATTCTTATCTGTAAATGTAGTCGATTAATCTCAACTCACTCAATCTATTCATTCTTCAAAAAGCAAACATCTCCCCTATGTTGGTCACACTATCATAATCACTGAAGACAAGGAGTTCAATAAGACATAATCCCTGCCCAGTGCAAGATCCGGGCCTAGCAGAGGCAAATAGTCATTAACAGTAAAGATAATGATGCTGATAAAAACATTTGCACTGTGTTTTGTAACAGACAAAGACCTACACACGTTCATGTTTTCACTATTATTTGTCCCATTTTGCAGTGGAAGATACTAAGGAACTAGACAGGTGGACACCATCATATCCACAGCACAAGTGAGTTAGTAGTCAAGTTAGGACTTAAGCCCAAGTCCCTGGACCATATAGCATCTGGGCCATTGCATCTCTGTGCCTCAGTCTCAGGGAAAAGGGAACTGAAACAGAGACTGCAACCCTTTCAGCATCCAGCCCAGGCCTGAATAGTGACCAGATCTTTGTGTGTGTGTGCGGGGGGTGGGGGGGTATCAGTTTTTCAAAGCAGAGTTGAGTAACTACATTTCCTTCCCCCCTTCTTTTCACTCCTGAACTTTGTTAAGCTTGGATCCATGAAACCAAAATTTCCTTATTCAGTAAGACTGGGAGAAGAGAGATGAGAGATTCTCTCTCTGACCTTGGCCCTAACGATGACTTCCAGTTGGTAAGTCCAGAAGTGCAGTAGGTGATGCATCCTGCGGCGGAGCCCAGGAATGCAAATCTCCCTTTACAGGCACCAAATGCGACTCACCTGTGGTGTAATTGAATATGTCACCCAGAGGACTCTGTCCTGCTTTGTTATAGGCAAAAACACTGATAAAGTAAGTGAAGCCACACTCAGATGGGAAATTGCACTGCGTGAGGGATGTGTTGCAGTGCACTTCCAAGCCATCATCGCTCTTCACAAAGGCCACGTAGTAATCCCCCAGATCGACATTGGACCAAGCCACAGATAGGTGGCCAGGGGGCTCTTCCCGGATCATTACTCTTGCAGGTGCACAGGCAACTAGGAAATGACCAATAATAAACAGTTGTGAGACTCCTGCAGGAAATTTTCTCTGCATTGCTGCAAGATTTCATGACAACTCAAACAGGCAACTTTGACCTTTGGAACGGGTTGGATTTAGTGCATGGCATGCAAAATTACATGCCACAGCATTTGGTTTTCTGTATAGAATCAAAGGCTATGCTGTAGGGTCCAAATCACTACCAAAAAACTCTAATGAACTGTCCAAAGTCTCTCATTATATGAAACATTGTTTGAGATAATGGACCATGGGGCCAGAGTTATGGCGCAGCAGATTAAGCTGCTGCCTGTGATGCTGGCATCCCATATTGGAACATCGGTTCAAGCCCCTGCTGCTCTGCTTCTAATCCAGTTCCCTGCTACTGCCCTGGAAAGCAGCAGAGGATGGCTCATGTAGTTGGGCCCCTGCCACTCACACAGGGGACCAGTTCCGGGTTCCAGGATTCTGCCTCGTCCAGCCCCAGCCCTGGCTGTTTTGGCCATTTGGAGAGTGAACCAGCAGGTGGAAGACCTCTATTTTCTATCTCTCCCTCTCTCTCTCACCCTGCCTGTCAAATCTTTAAAAAAAAGAAAAATAAAGAATGGGCTACCACAGTTGTACAGCTGTTTTAAGACCTGGGATTTTTGTTGTTAAAGTATTTGTTCAAAGATTTGATGCCATCCAGAGACGCAGCTGGGCTGGCCTGCAGGGAATGGTGAAGCAGAGCTTCAGGGAGTCTCCTGACTGCAGCCTTCCACGCACGGATGACAGAACACGTTCTCACGCCCATCACATCCTTCCAGGCGTGCCTGGGCAGAACAGTAAGACACCACATGCCACGGCCAAGGGACAAGGTAACACCCTGAGGAGGCCTTCGCAGATGTCTTCAAAGCAACCTCAGTTACTGCTAGACTGCACCAGAAAGGGGCACAGTGCACCTTGGTTAATAGTGCCTGTTTCCTTGTTCCAAGGCAGCGCCTCATTCATCCGGTATCACTATGGAATGAAGTCTTCTGATGGAATGAAGTTCATTCATTCAAGCCATAAGATTTTAACGTTTTTTAGGCATCTCTAATGGAACTATTTCTAAGATATATTGTACAGCTCTGGGTCCAGAAAACACATAGCACAGTCTAGACACAGTCCTTTTATTGGCAAATCAAGGTCGTTCCTGTGATCATGACTGTGTTATGCACAAACCACTGGGGCACATCCTGGACCAGTTGGTGTGCAGAACATTTCAATTGCGCTTGCTGCTGACTGCACATTAAAATCATCTAGGGGCCGGCACCGCGGCTCAATAGGCTAATCCTCCACCTAGCGGCGCCGGCACACACCGGGTTCTAGTCCCAGTCGGGGCGCCAGATTCTGTTCCAGTTGCCCCTCTTCCAGACCAGCTCTCTGCTGTGGCCCGGGAGTGCAGTGAATGATGGCCCAAGTACTTGGTCCCCCGCCACCAGCATGGAAGACCCGGCTGGAATTGCAGACTCCTGGCTTCGGTCTGGAACTGCTCTGGCCACTGTGGCCCTTTGGGGAATGAAGCAGCAGATGGAAGATCTCTCTGTATTGCTCTCCTCTCTGTTGCTCTGCCTTTTAGATAAATAAACAAATAGCTTGTTTAAAAAAGTTAAAATGAGAAATTACTTAAAGACATTCAGGACTAGAAATAACCTATCTTTATCTTAAAAAGTAGCTCCCATCATGCCTAGGTCATGAAACATGACATAAGGAAGAGTTCAAGCACTTCACAGTGACAGCTGTATAACACAAACTGAATCTTAGCATTTTTATAGCTTTACAAATGAAAAAGAAAAAAATATAAGAGATCTGGAATAGGAGCCAGGCTTCTTAATGTTCCAAGAAATGCTTTTCACAGTGTACAATATCTGCTTTCACTATCAATAATATTCTTTTTCTTTTTAAGATTCATTTATTTGTTTGAGAGGCAGAGTTACAGACAGAGAGAGGGAGACAGAAAGAGAGAGAGAGGTCTTCCACCTACTAGTTCACTCCCCAAATGACCACAACAGCTGGAGTTAGGCCAATTTGAAGTCAGGAGCCAGGAGGTTCTTCCAGATCTCCCATGTGGGCGCAGGGGCCCAAGGACTTGGGCCATCTTCTACTACTTTCCCAGGACAGAAGCAGAGATCAGAAGAGGAGCAGCCTGGACATGTACTAGCAACCATATAGGATGTTGGTGCCGCAGGCGTAAGCTTAACCTATCACACCACAATGCTGGCCCCCAACAATAATCAAACACATCAAAATGTCCAATTCAATGCTTGCATTTCACTCCTTCTAGAGTGTTCTAGAACATTGCTGGGGATTTTCTGCTTCCCTTATAGTACTCCTGGTCACTTGGCAGCCCTCCAGGAATCTCACTCCTATTTACCTACCAGTCTTCAGGGTCACCGCGGAAGGCGATTTGCTAGATCCAGCATCATTGCTTGCTAAAACTGAAACCAGGTACTCAGTTCCACACCGGAGGGAAGAGATGGTGCAGGAGCTGAGAGTTGTGCTGCAGCTCAGCTCTGAATTCTCACTTGACGCCATCACTGTGTAGTTGGAAGCGCCTTCCGTCGGCGCCCATGAAACAGACGCCTTCAGAGCCCCACTATCAAAAGAGACTTGGACGTGGTCAGGGGCACGAGGACCTACATTTTTGAGAAACAATTAAGATGTTGTAGTAGCCTCAGGAAGAGCCCAAGTGAGACCCAGCTCAGCAACAGTGCTGAGCTCAGAGGAGCGGGTACCCCATGGCTGGACACTGGTAAGAGTTGAAAGCAGGAAGCGGTGCTACAAGTACCTGGGAACTGTTAGCACACCTGTTGCTGACTATGCAAACCCATCATTAGCTTTGTGACCTTGGCTGTGTCATTGAATCACTTCACATTTTTCCCCATCTGTAAAATGGAGGTAGGAAGATCAGTACCTAACACACACAGGTGCTAAAAATGTGAATTTTGAATGCATGAATATGCTACTTAACAGATGACTAAAAGACTCAAATAAAATTATAAATGTGGGGGCTGATGCTGTGGTGCAGTAGGTTAGTGCCCCAGCCTGCGGTGTTGGCATCCCACGTGGACAACGGTTCGAGTCCTGGCTGTTCCACTTCCAGCTCTGTGCTGATGTGCCTGGGAAAGCAGTGGGGGATCTTTCTGTCTCTCCCTCTCTGTAGCTCTGCCTTTCAAATAAATAAATAAATCTTATTTTAAAAAATTATAAATGTGAAGGACTAAAAAGGTCATGTGGCTATGCTACTCTCAAATGATGTGTTACATATTTTTTCTATTATTGCTGAATAGACTAAATGCATCCTTTTATTTTCAACACCAGCAAAGACTTTTTAATAGCTTTAGGTCACAATTTTTTATAGAGGAGCCGACTTTCTTTTCGTTCTAGATCAAATGAAAGTATCAAATGTGGTGATCATACTTTAAGGCGGTCTTTTGGTGTCTACATTCTTTTTTTTTTTTAAGACTTATTTATTTGAAAGGTAAAGCAATGAATTGGAGAGACAGAGAGAGAAAGACAGAGACAGAGAGACAGACAAAGAGTGGGGAGGGAGAATCTTTCATACCCCGGTTCATGCCCCAAATGACCATCACAACCAGGTCTGGGCCAGGTTGAAGCTAAGAGCCAGGAACTCCATCCTGGTCTCCCACATGGGTGGCAGGGGTCCAGGTACTCTGGTCATCTTCCCCTGCCATCCAGGGTCATTAACAGGAAGCTGGATCAGAAGCGGAGCAAGATGCCAAGGTCACAGGTAGCAGCTTAACACGCTTCACCACAACCCCTTCTCCACTTTCTTATAAATATGCTTCCGTTTCTTCAGAATTATCCTATAGATTGGCCTCAGTGCTCCTTTGGGATCTGTGCTGTAATAAAGATCACCCAGCAGGACTTAGAAAACTGCTTGGACAACCTGTGAGCAGAGACCAGCATCCTCTGGACACTTCTGCGGTACAGGGAAGGCCCTGTTTTAGGACACAGAGACCCATCTTGTTCTCTGCGAAGGAGGCACCTGCCATGTCCCCTCGTAGGCTCTCTGGGCAGCTCCCTTCCTCTGCTGCATGGTCAGTTTGTCTGCAGAGACAAGCCTACTCTGAGGTAACACTGAACCCACAGCGGGCTGGTGTAGCTTTCAATGTTTCAGGGCAACCTGCTTTTCCTCATGTTGGAATGAGGAAAAACAGGTAGAGTAGTGCGAGAGTGTTATGGGTTGAATTCATGTGTTGACATCCTAATCCTTTCTACCTTCAGAATGTGATCTTATTTGGAAATAGCAGATGTGATTAGCTCAGATGAGGGTAGGCCCTAACCCATTATGACTGATGGCCTTACAAATAAGAAAAAATCTGGGAATGAGCATTTGGTACAGCGGTTAAGATATTGCTTAGATGCCTACATGCTATATCAAGTTCAAGTCTCAGCTTGGCTCCTGTTTCCAACTTCCTGCAAGTGCACACTCTGGGAGGCAGTTAGTGATGGGTCAAGTACTTAGATCCTGTCTCCCATGTGGGAGACCCAGATTGAGTTCTGGGCTCTTGACTTCAGCTTGACCCAGTCCTGAATGTGGCAGGAATCTGGGAATGAGCTGATGGAAGAAAGATACCTGTGTGTGTGTGTGTTTGTGTGTGTGTCTTTCTTCTTCATTCTGGCTGTCTGCCTTTCAAATACATTTTTAAAAATTAGAAAAAAGAAGATGAAATTTGGACACAGACATAGGCGCACACGACCAATGCCATGGGCCCATGAAGATGGCATCTACAAGCCAAGGAGAGAGACCTGAACAGACCTTTTCTCACAGCCCCCAGAAGGACCAACCTTGCCAACATCTTGATTTCAGATATAAGAGCCCCCAGAACCAATAAATTTCTGTTACTTAAGTCACCTAGTTTATGGTCCTTTGTTAAAAAAAGCCCTAACAAACTAATACAGAAACTAAACACAAACTCTAACACTTAAAAAATATTAGTTAGGGGTTGGTGTTGTGACACAGCCAGTTAAGCTGCCACCTGCAATGCCAGCATCCCACATGAGCACTGGTTTGAGTCCTGGCTGCTCCACTTCTGATCCAGCTCCCTGATAATGAACCTGGGAAAGCAGTGTAATGCGGCCCAAGTATTGTGGCCCTTGCCACCCAAGTGAGAGACCAGGGTGGAGCTCCAGGTTCCTGGCTTTGGCTTGGCCTAGCCCCACTCATTGTGACTATTTGGGGGAAGTGAACCAGTAGGTGAAGATTGTCTCTCTTTCTCTCTCTGTCTCTCCCTCTCTGCCACTCAAATAAATAAAATATCTTTTTTAAAATGATGTCTTTATAATTTATTTGAGAGGCAGAGAGAGAGAGATCTCTCACCAAATGCCTGCAGTGGTTAGGGGCAGGGTATGTGGGGTGTGAATCTGGGAATCCAGTCTGTATGGATGGCAGGGACCTAAGTACTTGAGCCATCACCGTTGCCTCTCAGGCTCTGATTAGCGGGAGGCTGGAATCAGGGACGCAACCCCAGGCATTCCAATGTGGGACCTCTGCATCTTAACTGGTGTCTTTAACAGCTAGGTAAAAATGCCCACCCTCCTAAAACTTGAAAATGTGAGGAAACAAATGAAGGAGAAGGCTTCAGGAAGCCGGTCATCCTTAGGCCACAGCTGTCTCCCCCGAGCCTGATTGGATTGCTCCCTTCCAGACCACCCTGGGCCAGTGCAGCCTTCCAGCAAAGCACTTGTTACACTGAACTGTAACCAAGGATTTGCACTTCGGTGTCTCCTTGGACACAAGTAGTTCTGTAAGGGTAGAGATCATGTCCTATTTGATTTTGTGTTCCCTCTGTCCAGCACATAGTAGGTCCTCAATAAATGTTGGTGGGAAGAAGTGGAGCAGGAGGGAAGGAAGAAAGAAAGGCAGCCTAGGAAAAGGCCCAGGGAGATGCTGGCTGGCACAGGCATCCTCATTCAGCTAGCCCGTCACCGATCCCTGCGGGCTACTTGCTTGAGTCCTCTCTAGAGAGGTATTACAGAAGGCAAACCCTTCTCTTCTCCCTGTGTTTCTGTGTTGGCCCCATAGTCAGTGGGGCTTCCATTTCCCTCCACACTTCCAGAAAACTGAAGAAAACATTCTGATCTCTCTCCATCCTTTCCCTTCCCCTCCCCCCTCCCCATCTCCTCAAGGAATAAAACAGTTGATCTGCTTGGTGAGGGTCTGGCTTCCACATAGGCAACATCAGCAGTGGGCAGCTTGCTTGGACTCAAGAGAAGAAAAGCCTGTCTCTCTCTCTTCCTCTCTCTCCTCCTCCTCTTGATCCCTCCCTCCCAACCCCTGGTCCCCTCTCATTCTTTGGGCTCCCTCCAGGAGCTCAGTTTGGACTTTCAGTAATTAGATTGCAGGCTCCCTTGACCAGGGTAACCCCGGGATCACACATGCTCGCTCACAGACACACACACACACACACACACACTCGTGCCCACAGCTACACCGTGTGCTGCTCTCCCACTTCTCAGGCCACATCAAGAGGAGAGGTCACAGGAAGCCCACGAGGGCCACAGTCCTGGGTGTGGGCCTTTGGGAATGGACGTGAAGCACTGATTCCCATCAGGGAGTGCGGCGACAGCGGGAACTCTGCCCCGGGTGCTGCTGCATCCCTGGGACCGCCAGCTCGAGGCTGAGTCACACCAACTGCCTGCCAAACAGAGTCCTTGAATGACCTGATTCTTTTGATTTATATTATTGATCTAAACCTAGAAGGGGACGAGGTGTGTCTGGGAAAGCTAACAAGGACCACTCCCTTCTGGAAGGTGGCGCGTGTCTGTGCTGAATTGGAGTTGGGTGGCAGAGAGGGAGCTGCTGGCTCTGGGCAGTCTGAATAGCATTTATACACGCGCTGGTGTTCAAACTACGGAGGAGGAATAGTCAGGCACTATAAATAACTTCCTAATAATTTTAGAAAGCTGCTACCAGCCAGTCTGTCCTTATCACTTAACACCGCTCTTGCTGGCTACAATGCACAACCCCTGTCGTTAACCACACGGCAGACGGAGGCTGAGCTGAGAAATCCTTACTTGTTCTCTGATTGCAGGTGGAGTCGTCCCCAGGGACTCCGTTGGCATTCCACGCATAGGCCTTTATGGTGTAGAGAGTGCCGGCCTCCAAGCCGCTGAATGTCAAGGAGGTATTGGTGGTGTTCTCCTTCCATATTCTACCCAAGCCATTGGCTCGCATGAGAGACACGGAGAATCCGATCGCCATACAGACAGCTTCCCACTGCACAAGAATAGAGTCTGGGCTTGGAGAACTTACTTCTAGAATTGGTGCAGCCAACACTAAGAAAGACAGGAACATGTGTGTTTGTGCCATGCAAGTTCAACAGAGGATAACTTGAATTCAGGAGTTAAGTACACTGAGGTTGATTGTTCATATTACAAAATAATTATTTACTTGTTAAAAGGGTTCATGGCAGAGTTCCATGAAATCATTGCTATTTAAGTGTTCATTAATCACAAATGTCTTGGCAGAGGGATGGGAAACAGAAGAGAAATTAAATCTTGGGCACTCCTTCAACCGGGAGTAAGAGATTAGATGAAGCATCCTTGTAATCAGAATACAAGTAAATGGGGAAAATGATGATTTTTTTCTATTATCATGCATACATAACTTTTCAGAAATAGGCTTAGGTACAACTTTACCAAACAGATTCCAAATGTTTTTAACATATATACCCCAGGGGCCGGCACTGTGGCGTAGCGGGTTAAGCTGGGGAGTGAACCAGCGGATGGAAGACCTCTCTCTCTCTGCCTCTCCTTCTCTCTCTGTAGAACTCTGGTTTTCAAATAAATAAATAAATCTTTAAAAAATAACCATATATACCCAGTGGTTCATGTGCAGCAGATCCTTTCTATATGTTCTCTGTGTGGATGGTTACAAAGAGCAATTCCTTCTCTAGAGATTTAAACTCGGGGATCCAGCACAATTGTTATGCTGCAGTGGGCTGAGCTGCTGCTCAGGTTGCCTGCATCCCATATTGGAGTGCCTGGGAGTAAGTCCCGCCTCTGCTTCTGATCCAGCTTCCTGCTAATGTGCCCAGGAGGCAGCAGATGAACTTGGTTTCCTGCCACTCATGTGGAAGACAAGGATGGAGGCTCCCAGCTTCCTGCCGGTCCAGCCCTAACTGTTGCAGGCATTTGGGGGAGTGAACCAGTGGATGGAAGATCTTTGTGTCTCTACATCTCTCTCTGTCACTCTGCTTTTCAAATAAGTGAATTAAAATAATAAAACTAAAAGAAAAAATAAAAGCAGAGATGATTTGAAAGAAGCCCAGAAACAGGTTTTATTTCCCCAGGCGAAGCATCTGGCATTTAAGTGCCATCGCCTCCACAGCTATCTGAGTTCCCCAAAACATTATTTGGTGGTTTTCACTTATGAGCCCTGCATCCGATTCACTAGGGGAACACTAAATTACAGTACGCATCTGCAGAACCAGTAGAATGGCTCTGGGTCACGGGTAAGCACTCAGAGGGCGTGAACATCCAGCTACCTGTCTTTGCCTGCGTTGGAGGTGACGCCTGGCTTCTCCCAGCAGCACTGATGGATCTCACGGTGATTTGGTACAGGGTTGCAGCCTTCAGGCCGGTCACAGTGCCGGGGGAACTGGCCACCATGGTTTCAATGACCGTGTCCCCGTCTTTGGCGGTGAGCAGGTAACTGGTGGCCCCAGGCACTGTAGCCCATTCTACGGTGATACTGTTGCTGATTTTGGAATACGCCTGATCAATCGTGGGTATTTCAGGAGCTGAAAGAGAGATGGCCAGTGTGCATCAGCCAGGAGACCTGCAAGAATCGCTCCTTCCATTGGTTTACTTTTCAGTCTCAATCATGCTCGTGCCCTCCTCCAGACACAGCTCCGCCCAAGTTTTCAGACCAAGGGAAAACAGAGCAAAGGAGAGGCCAGCTCCAACCGCTCATTCAGGGCTAGGATTTCAGAGAGCTTTTCCCCGGTTGCCTGGGGGATAATTCACACTTTTTGTACTTTTAGAAGAGTCACCTACGAGTGGGAAGTGATTGTGGGAAAGAACTCTGAGAGGAGGGGGGATAGTGGAGGGGTTTTATTCCAGAGAATTCTATTCCAGCTTGATTGCTGTGGGTTTCCCAGGCTCCCCTGCCCCTGATCTCTGCTCCCTGTTACACCTGTGCCGCCCCAGCTCCAGCCGGACCTGCTTCACCCCGGCCTCTGCTCGCAGCAGGGGTCACTCTCTCCTGTGCTCTGCACATCGCTCAATGGCATTTAATTGGGTGGAGGAAGGAGAGCTGAGAGCTTTGTTATAATTGCTCTGCAACACTTTCTTTCCTGTTGACAGAGTGAAAAAAAATTCTAGATTCTTCTATAAAATAAAGATAAACCCGTTTCTTCCTTCCTCTATCAAAACATCAGCCTCGGCATAGGAATGAGATGCTGGGGTCCCTCAGGCAGGCTGGGATGTGATTTGCCAGGGGATATGGCAGATGCTTACATCACAAGTTAAGCAAGGTGCACCTATACTTTGGGAGACAGAGCATGGTAGTCCTGATTTATTATCTTACAAAAACCACAGCCACAGAAATGTCCAAGCAGAAGAAAAGATCAAATAAACACAGCTGGGTTTTAAGTCTGAAATCCACACTTGGCCTTTTATGTTTAATATACTCCATTTGCTGGTTAAAAAATCACCGGATGTCAAATTCAAAACTAAAGGGCAAAACAAATGAACAAAACCACAGGGCAAAGAGGAAGAAAGGGTAGACACAGAAGTGAGATTGCCAGTACCCGCTCCCCCCCTCCTGCCCCCTCCTCAGCTGGAACCCCATGGGCCTGACACAGACAACCTTCTCTTTCTGCACCAAGATTCCTGGGGAACTGGACCTGGCGGCCTCTCAGAAAGAAGCATGCTGCAAAAATGAACAAAGTCTCCACTGTGCGCTGGCCAGACATTCTTTGAACATCACCCGGGACTGTCTCTGTTGCCGTCGAAAGAAAATTAGGACGGTTACAGCTGGTGGGGGTAAGCTGCGGGCTTGAGAGCCGTTGGCCAAGGGCAGCGGGTTCTGCAGGGACAGCGCCTGTCGCCGGGGCCCTTGCAGAAGAGAAAGCCTGGCGGGGGCCCCCCTTGCATCCCGCCCACACGTCCTTCTTCTCTCCCCCAACGTTTGTCCTATGCTCTGCCTCCTGTCCTCTCTTTCTAGTGCCTCTCAATGCTGTCTCCTCTGTGCCCAGCCTATTCTCATGCCCAGGTCAGCCAGTCCTGCTCCCTGGAACGATGAACTCCCCGGGGCAATGACAGTCAAATCAGCCTTCTCCGTAGAAGCCTGGAGGTACAGTGGGCAGTGGTCTTAAAGGCATCTGGAAGGATGAAGGGACGTGGACTATCTCCCCACAGGCCAGTCACAGGGCCTGCAGACTCCCCAAAACTGACCGGGGACAGCACTGTGACTCCGCCCTGGGTTAAGTCGCCACTTGGGAAACCCACATCCCAGATTGGAATGCTGGTTGAAGCCCCAGCTGCCCTACTTTTTTTTTTTTTTTTTTAAAGATTTATTTGTTTATTTGAAAGGCAGAGTTACAGAGAGGCAGAGGACAGGGGGTCTTCCATCCACTGGTTCACTCCCCAGAGGGCTGTAACGGCTGGAGCTGTGCCGATCTGAAACCAGGAGCCAGGAGCTTCTTCCAGGTCTCCCACGTGGGTGCAGGGGCCCAAGGACTTGGGCCCTCCTCTACAGCTTTCCCAGGCCATAGCAGAGAGCGGGACTCGAACCAGCTGCTCCACTTCTGATCTAACTCCTTGGAGGCAGCAGATGTGACCCAGGTGCTTCGGTTCCTGTCTCCCACGTGGGAGACCTGGATTGAGTTCCTGGCTCCTGGCTTCAGCCTGGCCCAGCTCCCGGCTGTTGCTGGCATTTAGGAGAGTGAACCACTGGATGGAAGATCACTTTCTGTCTCTCCCCCTTTCTGTTGCTTTGCTTTTCAAGTAGATGAAAAGGGATAAATAACCATCAAAGGAAAAACCCGACCCTATTGACGCAAGCCTGGAAAGGCTCATGTCATCGCCCAGGAAGCCAGAGTAAGCAGAACGAAACTCAAGGCTGTGTGGTGGGGAAGTCACGAAGGATTTGGCTTCAGGAGCCCTGGGTTTGAGCCCTGGCTCTGCTCCTCACTTTGGTGTGTGAACACGTGCAAGTCATATTCACTCTTCCAGCTCAGTCCTCCACTCAAGAAAATATGAGTATATATTCCATTAGCCTAGGATGTGCTTTGAAACATAAGATACCAGGCCGGTGCCGCAGCTCACTAGGCTAATCCTCCGCCTAGCGGCGCCGGCACACTGGGTTCTAGTCCCGGTCGGGGCGCCGGATTCTGTCCGGTTGCCCTCTTCCAGGCCAGCCCTCTGCTGTGGCCAGGGAGTGCAGTGGAGGATGGCCCAGGTGCTTGGGCCCTGCACCCCATGGGAGACCAGGAAAAGCACCTGGCTCCTGGCTCCTGCCATCGGATCAGCGCGGTGCGCCGGCCGCGGCGGCCATTGGAGGGTGAACCAACGGCAAAGGAAGACCTTTCTCTCTGTCTCTCTCTCTCACTGTCCACTCTGCCTGTCAAAAAAAAAAAAAAAAAAAAAAAAAAAAAAAGAAACATAAGATACCTACATTCCAGGGTTACTGTAAACAGTAAGTGAGGTAGTGCATGCAGGGGCACTTCGAAAGCGTGCATGTGTGTGTATATGTGTGTATGTGTGTGTGTACACCAAACAAGTTTTGGTGGGTTAGGAATGGCACCATCCTGGAGGGTGCCAGGAACCGCAAGATGCCAGGGAGTCTGGGCACACGTGGCGGGAGAGATGGATTTCCTGTTTTTACACTGGGTTCTAGGGCGCGTTCTGCCCAGCACCAGCCACAGAAGCAGATCCCCCTGCATCAATGTTCCCCTATGAGAGATGCGAAGCTTGAGTGACAAGTGTCAGACTCCATAAGGTAGCAGCAGTTCCTCACTGTTCCTCTTTCCAAGTTCAGCCTACTCACTGGATTGATGAAAGAGAAAACATTCCCTAGGTGTGCAAGCAACTGCTCAGATCTGTCAAAAGTGAAACCCTTTGATTCTTAGCATCTGTGCAATCCACCAACTCAAAGAAACCCGAATTAGTCCATGGGGCCCCAGAGGTCAGCCACGGATAAACAGGCAAGGCCATAGCCCCGAGAAGATCCACCTCCCCCTTAACCAAGTGGAACCTTCTACACAGTATAACTAAAACACACACCATCCTCCGAGAAGCCAGGCTGCGTCAGTTAGTAGTGTCATCACTGTCTCAGCCTGAGCCCATCTCTCCAGAGCCAAGCGCGGGCCGTGGGGACTGAGAGGAGTCCCTTCAGGGAGCACAGTGTGTCCTCTGTGCACTGGGACCTTGTGAGAGAGCAGAGCTAGATTTTGTCCACCCAAAGGTCACTTAGAAAAAAATCATATTGTACAGGGCCAAACCATCTTTCCCAGAACTTCCTGGCCAATCCTGGAGGCCTCTTAAGAATAAGATCAGTGGGGGCAGGTGTTGTTTAGCGTATTAAGCCTGGGGCGCTACATCCCATATCCAAGTGCCTGGGACTGAGTTCTGTTTCTGCTTCCAATCCAGCTTCCTACTAATGTGCCTGGGAGGCAGCAGTGGACGGTCCAAGTGCTTGGGTCCCTATTATCCATGTGGGAAACCACAACAGAGTTCCTGCTCCTGGCTGCAGTCTGGCCCATCCCTGACTGATGCTGGCATTTGCCCCAAACATAAACATTATGCCCCAAACATTATGCCCCAAACATAAACCAGTGGATGAAAAAAAATCTCTCTGTCTCTGTCATTTGGCCTTTCAAATGAATGAATTAATAAATAAAATCTTAAACAATAAGATAAAGAAATAAAAATAAAGCAGGAAACAATAATTTAAAAAATCCTACCACTTATCTATGGATTTTATGAAATTTTATAGTTCAATCATAGATTTACATCAACTCTTTTAAAAAGATATTTATTCATTTATTTGAAACACTGAGAGTTTTTTGGTTATACAATTGATATTATCTGGTTCCTACAGATAATCTAAGTCCCCTTGAATATAAATTTCCATTCTGAGGACTTAGATTTCTAGAATGTATGAGCTAGGAGAGGCTGTTGCCTTTATTCTTTTCTTCAAGAACAGCGGAGAGCGATTTTTTTAAAAGAAAGCCCCTTTCAGCACTGCCTCACCCTAGTCTATGTTTTAAGCATGCCGTTTTAGAAGCATTCCTGATTAGAGAATCTTGACATTTTCATCACACATACCAGCTTTAGTTTTCTCCTCTAATTCCCCAGAAGACAAATAAGAAGAGTCCTATAAATTAGACTCTGCACTATTGGTGATTTGGACTTTACTTCATTTGGAATGATAATCATTGTGATATTTTACTACAGCTAGCGGTGTGTTCTGGGTAAATGCACGGCTATATGAATCTACATGGCAGGAAGACTCAATGGGTCGACACTGCGAGGATTTCTAAGTTTGATCTATTTATTTATCTTACCAGTTATCATCTTCCCAGCACTTGGTACAGCGGTCAGCACCCAGTGTGAGTGTTCAGACAAAGTACCCCTCCCCCCCCACGCCCCTCCCGCCCCCCTTTCTATAGCCTTTCTATCTCAGGGTAGCCCCATGAATTAACAATAGCAACTCAAATATTGCGCATCTGAAAATTTAAAATTTTACCTGTTTTTGCCGAAGTGACCTGAAAAAGAAAGTTTAAAAAAAATTAGAACCATAAAGAAAAACACCATTTGGGCAAATGCAAAACATAAATGAGAGCAGTAATAAATTAATCCTAACACTTTGTACACAATGTGAGCAGTCTTTCAGCCCACATGAGAATGCAGCTGCACAAATCATTTCTCAACGCTCAGATCTACCACGAAGCACCCGAAATAGAACTTGGAGGCTGGAGGCAGATCACATTACTATTTCATTTTTTCCTTTGAATCTGCCTTTTGAACTAAGTCAGAAGCTGCTGACAGATTTTTCAGGAATCTTTTTTTCTTAAAATATAATGAAAATCTTGTTTTCTCTCTCTAGTATAGCGCATTAAATTTCAAACGCACAAACATCTACAAGCTTACCATGATCCCAAACTATTTTGATTTCTATCTCATCCCAAGATACCCCCAAACCCCCCAAAAGTGAAAGGTAATGAATGTTTCTTTTTTCCTCTAAATAGTCACAGGTAGCTGGAACGATTAACTCACCATTTTAAGACAGATAAGACTGAAGCCAATCAAATATATCCATTTCTGGGGTCCACCAGTCATCTTTTTGGATATGGCACTCACACGGCACAAAACACAGTGATCAGGATCCTCTCTGGTTCCCAGGAGGGCAGTGCTGCTGGCCACTGGGCTGTGGGACCGTGATGTTGGGGACAGACCCTGGCAAGTAGCTCCTCCCCTTGGTGTGGAGCTGACCTGTAACGAGGGGCACCCGGAGACTGGCAGGGACAGGTACTGCAAAGACTGAACAAAAAGAGGAGAGTTGGAGCAAGCCATGCCAAGGTGTCTAGAAAGCTATCGTAACCTTGGATTCAAGGTGGTGGGTAGAACACTCTTTCCACATATTGTCGACATGGTGGAATGATCAGGTTTAAACTCAGGAATCCTGACCAGTTTTATTGTTAGCTTTTCACCTTTCTTGGTTGCTTTTCCAACTGTCCATGTTTCAGCACAAAGTGGCCAGTAGTGCTGTCAGGAGCCATTTGTCACAAAGCTTCAGTATAGACAACAAAGGGGCAGAGCATGCCGCTGCCTTGGGAAAAACAATGGGAGGTCCTTGCTGAGCACGTTGTAGTTATCCATCCCCAGTAACAACTGCAGTCCCGGTACTTTTTATTTCCAGACCCATCTTGCTGGTTCAGGCTCTTAATAGTGATGAGCATTTAACCGAAGCACTGTAATATTGAATTCTAACAAAAAACAAGTATGTAAATGAGTAGTACACATAATTAACTGATTTGTCTGAAATCACACAAGAATTAAATGGTTGAGTTAGGATTAAAGCTTGTCTTACCTCTGTTTCAAAATACAGGGAAAGGAACTGGATTGATTTCAAGAGTTATTTAAAACTACAGTAATTAAGACAAGGTAGTTTTAGCATCAAGACAAATAATTGGTCAATGGGACAGAGTCCAGAATTAGACTCAAATATGTATGGACAATTGATATTTAACAAGGGTGCAAAGGCAACCCAAATGAGAAAGGACAGAATTTCAACAAGTGATAGAACGATAGCACATGCAAACAATATGATCTTTGAGTCATATCTCACATCATATTAAAAATAGTTAGACCTAAGGGTTGGCCCTGTGGCACAATAGGTTGAGCCGCCACCAGCAATGCCAGCACCCCAGATCAGTAGTGGTTCGAATTCTGGCTGCTCTGCTTCCAATCCAGCTCCCTGATAATGCACCTGGAAAGCCAGCAGAAGATGGCCCAAATGTTTGGGCCCCTGCCACCATATATGAGACCAGGATGGAATTCCTGGCTCCTGTCTTTGGGGAGTGAATCAGAGGATGGAAGATCTCTTTCTCTGCTGCCCTGTGTCTCTGTTGCTCTGCCTTTCAAATAAATAAGTAAATAAATAAATACTCCTAAAAAAATTAAAAATTAGACCTAAATGTAATGCCTACAATGATTAAGCATCTAGAAGAAAAGGGAGAAAATCTTTGTGATCATGATCCCTTTTTAAAAATTGATAGGTGTGGGCATTTAACCATGTCCCACAACAGAGAATCGGGGTTTGGTAACCAGTTCAGCTTGAGTGTAGTTTTCTGCTATTACAGACCCTGAGAGGCAGTCGTGGTGGTTCAAGTAATTGGGCTCTTGCCATCCATCTGGCTCTCAGAGCTTATTGCAGCTATTTAAAGAATAAACCAGTGCAAGGGAGATCTCTGACTGATTCTCTCTCTCCCTATCACTCTGAATTTCAAATAAATACAATAAGTAAAAAAAAAAAATTCTTAAATTTGACTTCATCAAAATGAAGAACTCCTGCACTATTACGGGAATGAAAAGACAATCCCCAGATGGGGGAAATATTGCAAATCATTTATCCAATACAGGATTTGCATTCAGAGTGTGCATTTCCCCCCCTCAAAATCCAGTAAGAAAAAAACTCAATTAAAAATGGGAAAAATATGTGAACAAATCTTTTACAAAAGTAGATATTCACATGGAAAATAAGTACATGAAACAATCCTGGACATCACTAGTCATCAGAAGAATGCAAGTTAAAACCACAATGAGGCCGGAGCTGTGGCTCACTAGGCTAATCCTCTGCCTAGTGGCGCAGGCACACCGGGTTCTAGCCCCAGTTGGGGCGCCAGATTCTGTCCCGGTTGCCCCTCTTCAAGGCCAGCTCTCTGCTGTGGCCAGGGAGTGCAGTGGAGGATGGCCCAAGTGCTTGGGCCCTGTACCCGCATGGGAGACCAGGAGAAGCACCTGGTTCCTGGCTTTGGATCAGCGCGGTGCGCCGGCTGCAGCACACCGGCCGCAGCGGCCATTGGAGGGTGAACCAACGGCAAAAAGGAAGACCTTTCTCTCTGTCACTCTCTCTCTCTCACTGTCCACTCTGCCTGTCAAAAAACAAAAACAAAAACATTAGAAAAGACTATACCAAGTGTTGGCAAGGATGTGGAACAACTGGAATGTTTATACCTGTTGGAAATGAAAAATGGCACAAGCACCTTGGAAAACAATTTGGTTGTTTCTTGAGAAGTTAAATGCATGCCTGTTTTATAACCCAATCATTTCATGCCTAGGAATGTACTCAAGATGAGTGAAAACTACCTCCAAGTGAGATCACACATGAATATTCATGGTAGCGTTGTTTTTACAAAGCCCCAAACTGAAAGCAAACCTATGTCCATCAACCAAGGTTAATGATAAACAAATGTAATGCTTCGTGGGAAAAGGAAAAGAATGAACCATTATGCACACAGTAACATGGATGATTCTCAGAATAATTATGCTAAATGAAGTCAGACTTTTAGTAGATACAAATGGTTATATTCAACTGTATAAAACTCTACAAAATGCAAACTACTCTAAAAACAGAAAGCAAATCAGTGATTGTGTGCAGGAAAGGGCAGGAAAGGATTATAAAATTGCAAGAGGAAACACTTGGGGATGAAGGTCATGTTCATTATAAATGTGGTGATTGTTTCATTAGTTTATACACATGACAAAACATACTGAGTTTATGCCTTAAATACAAGCAATTTATTGTATGTCAGTTAAATCTAAATAAGGCTGTTTTAAAGACTCAGTCTAGGGGCTGGTGCTGTTGTGTAGTGGGTAAAGCCGCAGTTTGCAGTACCAGCATCCCATATGAGCACCTGTTGAGTCCTGGCTGCTCCTCTTCCAATCCAGTTCTCTGCTAATGTACCTGGGAAAGCTGTGGAAATTGGCCCAAATCCGTGGGCCACTAGACCCATGTGGGAGACCCGGAAGGAGCTCCTGGCTCCTGGGTTTGGATCGGCACAGCTCCAGTCATTGCGGCCACTTCGGGGAGTGAACCAGTTGATGGAAGACCTCTCTCTCTCTCTGTCTCTCCTTCTCTCTCTGTGTAACTCTAACTTTCAAATAAATAAATAAATCTTCAAAAAAAATCAGTCTAACTCTAAAGTTCAAGTCGCTCTGCCTTCCATGACCTGACTGCCATGACTTCAAGGCATTTTGGTTTGTGTATTCAACAAACATATACTGAGTTTCTACTAAATACTAGAAATTATTCTGAACCCAGGGGACACAAGCATCAACCAGAGTCCTGCATCCATGGAGCATGTACTCTGGTAGAGGAGACCAGAAAACCAGCAGCTACAGTCACAAAACACAGCATGGCACAGGCCGCTCAATGCTATGAAGCAGAATTGAGGAGAGAATATCGAGGGACAGAGTGGGCTGGTTTACAGACAGCAGTCAGGGTTGATGTCTCTGGTAACCACATGCTAAGCACTGGCATCAGGGAGCGAGGGAGGGATTCCTTTGGAAGTCCTGGAAAAGAACTTGTCAGGAGGAGGAAAGGACGAGGATGCTGAGCGGGGAGAGGGCTTGGGTTCAACCACGCGAGGACCCATGCTCCTAGCTGCAGGGAATGCTGGTGCCTCTCAGACTTGACTGAGGATAGCTCAAAGTCACCTCCCCGTCTCCCCCAGGGGTTGCCACATTCTAGGACTGCTGGATGAAGGAACGCCAGTGCTCCTAGCCTGAATTCAGGACAACTCTGGGGAGGAGAGCTGGATGCTGCAGTGTGGCATCCAGCAGGACCGTGTGAGTGTGCACGAGAGAGGCTCCTACGGTGCGAGATGTAAGCAAACAGTCACTATGTAGTTCACACAAGCCCAGCGCTCCGGAGGCTGGACGCACAGATCCCTTAAGTGGCTCGTTGACTTAGGGTTCACACTGTGTCCTGAAGGACGGAAGCCCATACTCAGATTGTAGTCTCTCCACAGGTAGCTTTGCTGGACCTTCAACAGGTCACTACTGAGGACCATGGTCATGGATTTAAAGAGGCACCAGTCAGGGAGTGGGCATCGGACACGGTGGTTAAGACAATGCTTGAGGTACCTTTTCAGAGTTCTTGGGTTCGAGTCGACTCTGTTTCCAATTCCAACTTCCTCTTTGTGTATGTCCTGGGAGGCAACAGGCAATAACTCAAGTATTTGGGTCCCTACCATCCTCATGGGAGACCTGGGTTGAGTTCCTGGCTTCTTCTTGCTGCCTGGCCCCGGCCCTGGCCATTATAGGCATTTGGGGAGTCTCCCATCAAGTGGAATATCTCTGTCTCTCTCTGTTTTCCACATTAAAAAATAAATAAACATTTAAAAAGTTGGTGGGAAATGAAATGAAAAGATAATTTTATTAGAGAACCCAGTCAGCACAATTTTATTTTCTGCAGTGATGTTCAGTCACTTGAGTAAACCAAGATGTGTGTTTGACTTGGGTTGGGGGTATTACTAAACAAATAGGTTACAGGCAGCAAGAGAGTTGATGATGTTTTCCGGAGAGATTTACAACTCCACTGGTTGGCCAGTGGAAACCAAGCCAGGTAAGGAGGGAGGGAGGCTGGCAATGCTTCGCTGCATTGGAGGCTAGGAGGGCTCAGTGGAGAGTGAACTGGCAGGGGCGACACACTGGAGTTCCTGGAGGTGAGGGCATTAGAGGGAGTCGGGGGAAATGTAGGGACTGATGATTTGAGAATGGGAAGTTTAAATTGGAAACTTTTTTTTTTTTTGAGACAATGTCTTCTCCAAGTTTCAGTTAACAATAAGGTCAGTTCTCTGTGATCACTGAACGTGGCAACTGAGATCAGGTGGAAGAAGGTACCATTAGAGGTCAGGAGGACAAGAAATTGGAGCTCTCGGGGCTGGTGTTTGGTGCCTCGGGTTAAGCTGATGCTGGCAATGGCTGGCATCCCATAGTAGAGTGCCAACTCCAGTTCCAGGCTGCTCTACTTCTGATCCACCTCCCTGCAAATGCGCCTGGGAAAGCCATCCACATGAGGATCTTGGATGGAGTTGCTGGCTCCTGCCTTTGGCCTGGCTCAGCCCTAGGTGTTGTGACCATTTGGGGAGTGAACCAGCAGCTGGAAGCTTGGTCCCTCTGTAACTCTGCCTTTCAAATAAATAAATCTTTAAAAAGAAATTGGAGGGCCGGCGCCATGGTTCAATAGGCTAATCCTCCGTCTGCAGTGGCGCCGGCACCTGGGTTCTAGTCCCGGTTGGGGGCCAGTTCTGTCCCGGTTGCTCCTCTTCCAGTCCAGCTCTCTGCTGTGGCCCAGGAAGGCAGTGGAGGATGGCCCAAGTGCTTGGGCCCTGCACCCGCATGGGAGACCAGGAGAAAGCACCTGGCTCCTGCCTTGGGATCAGCGCAGCGCGCCAGCTGCAGCAGCCATTTGGAGGGTGAACCAACGGAAGGAAGACCTTTCTCTCTCTCACTAACTCTGCCTGTCAAAAAAAAAAAAAAAGAAAAAAAAGAAATTGGAGGGAGCCAGCACTGTGGTATAATGGGCAAAGCCTCCACCTGTGGCATTGGCATCCCACATGGATGCAAGTTAGTGCCCTGGCTACTACTCTTCTGAACCAGCTCTCCACGATGGCCTGGGAAAGCTGTAGAAGATGGCCCAAGTGCTTGGGCCTCTACACCTGTGTGGGAGACCCGGCAGTGGCTCTTGGTTCCTGGCTTCGGACAGGCACAGCTCTGGCTCTTGTGGCAATCTGGGGAGTGAATTAGCAGATGGAAGACCTCTCTAATACTAAAGGATGGATATAATGTTTTGTCCAGTGCTTAAGATGCCAGTAAGGATGTCCGTGTCTCACATCTGAGTACCTGGGTTTGATACCTAGCTCTGGCTCCTGACTACAGATTTCTGTGGATGGAAACTGGGAGTCAGTAAGGGTGGCTCAAGTGATTGGCAGTCTCAGGAATTTGGGGAGTAAACCAGTGTATGGGAGCTTTATCCTGGATTTTAAAATTATTTTAATAATTTAAATAATTTAATAAATTATTTAATAATAATTCAATTATCATTAAATTAATATTCAATTAAATAAATTAATGTTTAATAATAATTTAATAAATTATTAATTAATTTAATAATTTAAAAAGTTGAGTATCTTTAAAGGTCTGTGAATGATATGAATTGAGGGACAGCAGATAGTATAATCTGATAACATGTACTTTAAAGAAACAATGGTTTGGAAATACAATGATCTTAAATCAATTAGGGAACAGGATTATGTTACCAACTATTTTTGGTTAATGCCAACTTCTTGGTTGTTGTCAAAACAGGTAATGAGTGTTACTGCTGAACAGATCCACTGTAACAATGCAAATAAAGCAGTTGTTTTTGTAGCTTGAATTTAAAGCTTTGATTACTAAATTTGCCAGCTGTCTGAAATTCAGGAGTAAGATTCTGCAAAGCAATAAATGCTCATGAATTGAGGTACTGAGAGGTATGGAACCAAAATAACCCAGAAGGAAACCAACTACAAGACCAGAGTTCAAACAGGCTATGAACAGGCTAGCTAGGAAAATTAGGACCAGTCGATAATTCAAAGACCAAGAAGAATGACTAAAAAACGATAAAGGCAAGAGTCTAGAAGGAAAAAGGGCTAAGAGGCAACACTGGGTGCAGTAGTTGAGCTGCTGCATGGGATGCATGTATCCTCTCTGAGTGCCTAGGTTTGAGTTACTGTTCAGGGCGGGGGAGCAGGGGGGGGGCACCTCACTGAACCAGTTTTAGCTGGTTGAAGTTCAGCATTCAGAAATTTTCCTGCTGGTACTATTGAGTTTTCAAAACATTGCTGAGCTCAAAAATTCTAAAAGGGAATGGAGGGTCAGGGACTTCTCTTGCATTTGCCAAGCAAATGACATTTCATTAAGATTTCGGCCCTAGTAGACAATGTCCATGATGTATTCGGGAGTCTGGTTGATGGTAAAACAGGACAGAATTATGGTCAGGACCACCATGGTGGGGGAGGACGTTTATTCTAGTTGAATTTAAGAGCTCTTTTTATGTGCAATTAAAGTCAGAAATGTTTTACGAAACCTCTATTTTCTGAAAACCCCCCACCCCCACCCCCTTTTAACGTATTTCTGGTAGTTTGCACATGTTTTGACTTGCATAAATAACTTTGTGAATGTCTATTTCCAGAGTTCTGGGATTAAGAAAGTTTTTTTCTTTCACTGTTGCTTTCAAAGCCCTTTAGGAAACTAACAGTCTCAGTGTTCCTCCATTTCCCACTTCCAACTGTCTTGTTTCAGGTGGTCACTGTTGTCCATTCTCAGTGCTGCTTGAGGTCCATCTCCAACAAGGCCAGAGAAACGTTTTTAGCAGAGTAAAATAGTACTGGATAATGAAAAATAAGGTATTTATTTGAAAGGCAGAAAGACAGATCTTCCATCTGCTGGTTCACTCCTCAGATGCTCCCACAACCAGGTCTGTAGCTAGGAGCCAGGAACTCTCAGTCCCCGACATGGATGGCAGGGGCCTGAGTATTCAGTCACCTACTGCTGCCTTCCGAGGTACATCAGCACAAAGCTAGATTGGAAATGGACGGCCAGGACTCACACCAGCAACTCTTGATTACATTTCTTATCAGGGAGAAATGGAATAATGGATTTTAAGGTAGCTACAATGCTAACATTCTCAATGAAATATATTCATCATGTCCTGTTTTCTACTGTAACAAATACTAATACATGACCCCATCATGAGGTTACTTGCACTTCTTGCTGGTCGAGGCAGACCAGGCAGACTATCAGTAAGCATCTCCTTCCCCCATTAAATGAGCTTCAAGGTCCCATAATTGAGTCATTCATTCCAGGCTGAATTCAGCATTTACAAGATCAATCAAACGAACGCTCTTCAGGTGGCCAGCACCATAGGGAGAACTAGTCAGCTGGTCAGTGTTTGAGGACACAATGGTATCAGCTTATTACTAACAGCACTGCAATCTCACCTCTATTCCAATCAGAAATCATGTTCCCAGAGGACAACTCCTATTGGAGTAGGAAATTCGGTAGTCCTCTTTCAGGAAATAAACACCTACTGCCTTTGGGCAGCTCTCAGGAGCCTAAGTTTCTTGTTTATATACTATTCACTCCCAAATACTGCATACCTGACCACAGCCTTTCGGAATCCTGAATAAACACGGCAAAGGCCCTGGGAAGTTTTGGGCCTCCTTTGAAATGGTACACACATTCTGCAATTTTTTTTTCCCCGAGAGAATTTGTAGCTTTCATCAGATTCCTAAAAAGGGGCCCAGAACTCAAAGGTTTAAGCACTGTTTCAGGGGTACTAAGGAACCAAGGCAAATCAAGCAGCATTCAAATGGACATTTTATATTAAAATCTTAAAACTCACACACTAGCCCATGTATAGAATTGGAAATTAGACATTAAAAAACAGGTGCAAAGGCTTATCAATACATGGAAAGGTGAAATCATTTCAGTAAATTAGGTACAAAAACCAGGTGGAGGCTGCCAGTTACATTTTTACGAAAAGCTTTTCAAGTGTTCTTCATGTTGGAAAAAATAACCCTGAGTGATCTTTCACTGCCACCCATCTTCCCAGTCTTTCAGGAAGCCACACTCCAAATAAAAATCACCATGTGTCTGGCACTAACTAGTATTATTCACATGTTCTCACGCCTACTAAAACGTTCCTCATAAGCAAATGTAAATTAAAAATCAGTTAAACGCAGCTTTTAAATAGTACTTTCAACTCTATTTGAAATAATTTCTCTAAAATACATCTTATACCCCACTGAACTAACATTTCAAGTGGAATTACATCCAAGGGATTAGCACCTTAATTCCAATAAGATAAAAATAAATTTGTCAAAATTCTCTTTATCACTCAAAAATAGGTTTTTCTAACTTTTAGGTGTCTGTGATAATTCATTTGGTGTTCAATTTAAGACTGACATCTACTCTTAAGACAGCACAGGATTTCTACAGAGGAATTCCTGTGTTTAATGGCATTTTTCTGAAACAGGGTTAGGTACAAATGTTAAGTCCCCATCTGGAGAACTCCTGCAAATGGTCGCATTTGCTCTGCTTCAGGCTTCCGCCTGCCATCAGCTGGCCAAAGCAACCAGAGACAAAGCAAGAGTCAATCTGTGCATCACAGACATCACTGCACTGTCACACACACTCCCTATTAGCCCCAGCACTCGTGAAACCCACTTTCTTCCTACATTTCAAAAATTGGATAAACCACAAAATTTCTCCCAAGCCCAAATTTTAAATACTAAAGTACACTCCAAGTTAAATTACTCCAGGAAGCACCTCTGATGCAGAACAAATTAACCACTCCCTCCCTACAGTGACATATAACGATGTCCACTGACAGAACCACCAATAGGATCCTATGGAGAGCTGACCACCTTTAAAATTCTTCTGTTGTCTAGGGTGCTAGGTTATCCCTCTACATAAAGTGCTACTCTACTGACACTTTATCATCTTCCACAATAAAAACACGTTTTAAAAATGTAAACAAATGGGGGAAAAGTCAACACCCAGGATAAAGGATTTAATCCAGTATTTATTCCACACTCATGATGGGTCTCTATAATCAGAATACAAGTCATAAGAACAATCTGTCAAATAATTTGCTGATAGTCTTAAATAATGCAGTGCAGCATTACTTTTAATACTCCTCTGTTCTAGATTGTTTTTAAAAACTCAAACAGCAATCTCCATAATTAATAAAAAAAGTTTAAAATTTTAAAAAAGGACACTATATCAAGCTGTTTCATAATTTAAGTGTTTTCCATTTAAAAAAATGCTCTGGAAGCTTGAGGCTTGAATCTGTTCACTTGTCCCACCCTCTCCCAATCACGTTAGTATCGGGAAGCTGCAAGAATGCTAGGCTTTAGACATTAATTTTTTTCTTTAATATAGTACTTTAAAAATCTGAGAAAGAATTCAAGGAAAAAAAGATTACATGTCATGTATTTCTTCAAATAAAAAAGGAAAACTAAGTGAATAAATTTTAGGCATACTAACAGTGTCCCTTTGAGGTAGAATGCTAAAAGGACTTTTGATCAAATCACAGCCTAATTTAAACCTCTGCATCAGAAACTAACTTCTCATAAATTCTCTCTAAGGTAACTGTGGAGAATATTAGGTATAACATATTAACAAGAGCCTCCCAAGATAATATACAGTGGACAAGAATGTTAATCCTACAACTGCTGCTTTCAAGTACACTGAAAGCACATAATTCTCCTATAATAGACATCCAAGATTTCCGTTTTTCAAAGTCTTTAGCATTCTATTACGAAAAGCACAGCCATGCTAAACTTCAGTACACAAACCATAATCCCACACCTACAAAACAAAAATAGAATTAGTGGCAGTTTATTGCCTTATACAAATTTAACCAACGTGGCAACCATGCCAACGGAATTAAAACATTTTCAGGACATATGTACAGACTGTACATTTTTAAAACAAACAAAAATGCAAGAACAATCTGTGCATCATGTATCAAACTGAACAACTGGGTGAAAACAACAATGCAATAAATGGGATTACAAAGGCACTTCCCTACACAAAAGAGGAAATGAAAATGCAGCCTACAGGGAGCTTGAAGAGTGTGTAACTACTGCACAATCTCAACTTGGGGAGGAAAAAAAAAGGTTTAATCAAACATTTATAGGATTCAATGTGATCCACTTTTACAAAAAAATTTTCACACAGTCTCATCTTTGTTTTTATGTTGTTTTTCTTGGCTCTCTCGTTCTATACTTTGGCTCCTTCCACGATCGTGTTTGTCTGACTGGTCCTTACTATCACCGTGATCTCGTTTGTGGGAACGTTCTTTGCTTCTGCTACGCTTTCTAGATTTTTCTTTGCTGGGACTATGTTCCCGTTTCTTTGATTTTTCAACACTGTCAGTTCTTCCTTGACTGCCACTTCTACTTCGTTTATTTGATTTTTCTTTACTTTCATTTTTATGTTTACTTGATTTTTCTTTGCTCCTGCTTCTACTTCGTTTCCCTGCATTTCTACTTCTACTCCTACTTCTGTGCTTCCTTTCCCTGCTTCTACTTCTGCTGTGTTTTTTCTCTTTCTTGGAATCTTTTTTGTCATCTCTATGCCGCCTGTCATCTTTGTCTTCTTTATGTTTCTTCTCTTCTACCTCACTCCTACTTCTCTGTTCCTTGGACCGTTCTCTTGACCGTTCCCTTTCCTTTTCTCGGTCAGTCCCTCTTTCCTTATCATAGTCTCGATCTCGTCTTCTACCTCTCTCATTTTCTTTCTCTCTTTCCCGATCCCTGTCCCTTCTGTCCCCTTTCCTATCACGACTTCGACTGCGACTTCTATGCCTTTCTCTACTCCTGCTACGCCTGCGTTCCAACCCCCGATCGATACTTCGGGATCTTCGCCTTTCTTTCTCCCTTTCTTTGGCTTCACGCTCTAGTCGTTGTCGTTCTTTCTCTCTCTCTAATTCTCTATCAAAACTAGAAGACCCGTGGCCCTCTCGATGATGACTTCTACTTCTTGATCTTCTTGGGGACCTCCGTGGACTCAGCGATCTCCTTGGAGACCTGAAAAAGTGGAAGGGAAAAGGAAAACTTCAATGAATAAAGCTTAAAATAAAAATCTCATTGTAAAACTTATCAGCATTCCTCAGGTCTCCAGCTTACATACATGTCAAGAATTATTAAAAGCAAAAATTGTAACTTCTCATTATTTACAGACATGTAGTTCTGTAGACAATACCATGAAAGAAAATGATCCTTTAAGAGGGTAAAACTGACAAATAAAATCAATAGTATAAATAGTATTTCTTAAAAACTTGCCATCAATTTCCAGTAACCATTAACTTTGTGCAAAGCGTATTTAAAAAATACACATGAGAATGGGACTGGCTCTGTGGTGTAGCGGGGAAAGCCGTTGCCTGCAGTGTCGGCATCCCATATGAACACTGGTTCAAGTCCCAGCTACTCCATTTCTGATCCAGCTCTTTGCTATGGCCTGGGAAAGCAGGAGAAGATGGCCCAAGTCTTTGGGCCCCTGCACCCATGTGGAAGAAGCTCCTGGCTCCTGGCTTTGGATCGGCACAGCTCCGGCCATTGCAGCCAATTGCGGAGTGAACCAGCAGATGGAAAACTTCTCTCTCTCTCTCTCCTTCTCTGTGGAACTCTGACTTTCAAGTAAAAATGAATCTTAAAAAAAAAAAATACACAGAAATAATTCAAGAGTTACATTACCTTGAACGTCTGCGTTCAACATGTCTGTCTATTTCCTCAGTCCCTTCCTTCCCATCTTTCTTGATTTTTCTAGGTCGAGTTTTAATCTGTTGATCAATATTCTTCTGAACGGGAACTGGAATTCTTGGAAACAAGGTAGAAAACCACTCCAGTTTTGTAAGAAAAGATCGCAGCATTTCTCCAATGGTCATTACACAGCCTCCACCAGCCTTCACATCTAGGTCCTAGGAAACACAAAAGATACCCTAGCCGTCAAAACAAAGTATTTTGGCATCTATATGAATACTATAAAAACATTACCATCTTTGGAATCTCAAGTACAAAAATATTCTAACAGAATTCAAACTTTTGTATCCTATTCTGATAATGAATGATACAGAGAAATATTTGGGCTTAGTGTGTGCATGCAGGTGAGAGCAAACCCTGTAGCCTCACGGCCATAAAGGGATCTGATCTCACTCAGTTAACAATATGAAAAAGCCCCTTATATTACTAACTACGTGGAACAACTGACTTAATTTACATTCCACAACATTAAGTATGCATTTGTGGACATATTTGCACACATCATACCTAGCACCATAACCTAGCTGCATATGAACGATTGTAGACAGTTTCCTGTCTAAAGGATATCTGTTAACAGCTGCAATATAAAATGAAGCCCTGATAAAACTGGAAGCAATAGCAAACCAACTGCCATGAAGCAGTGAGGTTTCTAATTTAGAGTTATGTAGAAAATAAATAAATGAACAAAGAATTGGAAACGCATAATCCATGATGACCATTGTCTCTGAAAAGGGTCATTACCGCATGAAGGCCTTCTTGCTATGCCCTCTCACAGCTCAGGACATGTTAGTCAGCTATTGTCAGTCCCAAACCTACAGTGCAAGCACACAAGGAAAGTGAGATTTGTTATCTAAACAGGAAAACAAGAGCTAAAGGTAAAACTGCTTGCACTCACACACATTTAAGTGTTCAGATATACAGTATTTCCAAATATAATCGCTGCAGATATCTAAGGAAGAAAACAATAAGTTAGCTTATAAAGGACCTCAGGTTTGTAAACACAATAAAAACAGATTAAATAGAATCATTCAGAAACAAACCTAATAAAACAATTATGAAGAGGGATACCACTTTTTAAAAAGAGAAGGGAGAAGTGATTTGGTATTTAAAAAAAACTCATCTGTAGAGAAAAAACTTTTAAGTTTTTGATTATCACCTAAAACACTTCTTGTAGACAGACTCAAAAGAGTCCAAGAAAAATTAAAATTTTCCACTGCTAAATGAATTTTTTAAAATGTGTGTAATAACACAACATATTTCTATTAAAAACATCCTTTCATTCAACAAATCCTTTGACTAAACTTTGTTAATAGGACACTAAAACACGGCACTCAAAGTCTGCTTTATTAACCTTAAAATATAAAGTAATGATGGGAACTGATATATGGACAATATAGCTTGTGATAGAGTACATTTTAAGATCCCGGACTTGACTAAATAAAGCAAGTGAATGCAAACAGTATTTAAATCTGACCCAGTAAAGTTTTCTGAAGTAATTTTTTTCTTTTCTGAACACATGTAACAGGCTCAGGATGGCAAACTACACTTAGAATTTTTAAAAATCTAAATTTCTGATTTAAAGAAAAAGGTTTCAAAAATATGTGTAGTATGAGGGGTCAGAAAGGTAGAATTAAAACGAGTCATCTACTACTCAGCATACTTAAGTCACACTCAGATCTGCAGTTCTGTATCTCTGCAGGCAGGAATACAGATATTAGAGGACACAGTGAGAACTGAAGAGTTGCAGATGGGAAAAAAAAGGCGATACCTAGCGTTTTGTGTGCTTGTCTCTTTACCTCAATCTTGAAAATGCCTCACCTTCAAAAGCCACTATCAGCAGTACCAGTCAGGATTAATAACATACAGAACATAATTAGGAAGAGAAAACTTTCAATGGTTATCAGAATACATATGAACAATTTAAACATAAGAAAAGAAAACTTAATTTAACCTAAGATCTATAAAAATCACCAAGTCTTAGTAAAGGATAGCGATTCCAAAAGTATTTCACTGAAATTAAATTTAACTACAGGAAAGGATGGAAGATATTAAGCCTCCAATAAAAGACATTAAAAATACAAAAGTAATCACAAGAAAACTCATTATTACCCTTGTTGACATACCTCTTCATCATCAAGGAAGGATTCAAACCAGTCCCATAGATCTGTGGGTGGCTGTGTATACCTAGAATTATATAAGACTTGTCAAGCTTATGTGAATTAAAATGAATTATTTATTAGACACGTAGATAAGTGTATGCCTACCTTATATACATAAATCCAAGGGCTCTAATATATGGTGAGTCTGTGTGTGTTATTAGACCCATCACTTGCTTGCGCGTTAACTTCAAAGTAAATAATTTATATAACAGACAAAATGCTGTAGAAACAATTCCTCCTGTTCCAACACCTCGAACCTTTAGGGGAAACAGAATTAAGAAAAAGTAGTAAAATAATGAACAGATACATAATACAAATTGATTAAACTTGTTAGGTATCAATAACAAGCCATAATCCAGAACTAAGATTGGAGCGTAACAAAATAACACTTCTTCTAATCCTATTGAAGTTAGATTTTCTTTTTCAGGTTTTAAGATCTGCCAATAAATTTTCATTTGACCATGTAATTGATAAATCTTTAGTTTTCTAAATATCGACTAAGTTAAGAGTCACAGAAAAATGGAAAAATGCACGTACTTCTACTTACCCCTCCGCACATCCCGGTCTGGCCTGCTGTTTTCCTGCTTCCTTTCTCCCATGGTTCAACATGTGTGACCTGAAAATAGAAAAGAGGAACACAACAAACATTCATACTTCAACTCTTTTACAGCTCTGATTAAAGCAAACCCAAGTCCATAACAGAGCAGCTCTTCCAAAACTATTCTGGCTTTAGGTATACGTTTGCTCACATTAAGTATGTAAGTCATCTTCAGTACCAATAATGATATTAGGGTTTAACAAACTTCAACAGATTTACAGAGCAGAAATCACATTACATTAGCTCACAGAGAGCTATTATCTACATATGTCGAAGTCAGGAAATTTTTAGTCTCACACGCTGCAAAAATATGTGACAACATTTCAAACTCTGCATCTTACTATGCATTGTATAAAAAATACAAATCCTCATTCTAAAATAGATTTAAGTCTCCATTTTAAGTCAAAAAGTACTGAGATGAAATTTAAGTGTTAACTTGAAAGTTTTAAAAAAACCTCAATAGTTCAGTTTTATAATGTTATGATCTAAAAATCTGAATTACAAAGGAAAATGACCAGGAAGAAAGCTTGCTAAAACAAGCTACTTCTGATACCAACATTATGTACCCTTTTACTTGAACATTTTTTCACCAGAATCAGGTTCTTTCAAGATGAAATTACAAAGGCCACACTTACACAAAGACCTTTCTTGTTAAAATTCATTTTCAGCCTATTTGAACCAATCCAATTTTTGCCTGGAATATTAACTGTCAAAGCTAAGTGTAAACAGCCGTTAATATACACTAGGTATAATCAATGATACAGTATCATAATTGTTAAGAGCTCCCTTTAAAAACCATTCTTTACCTAAAAATAGTTTTAAAAATATTAACTCTAAAACAGATGGACCCCGAGAAGGTCTTCTGGAAAAACAAGACCCATCTTTTTTAAACTTAAAAATGTCCTGTTTTGTCACTCTATGTAGTTCTAAAACTGTGGTAATACTTCATAGCCCTTTTCAAGGGCTTTTGACCAAAAAGCGTGAATTTGAGCACTATATATATACACACACACACACATATACATATACATACACACACACACACACACTCTGGCTCCATGATTCCTGTAGTAGTTTATGTCTCCGCTCCTTCCTCTAGCTTTCCACACAAAAGATGATTCAATTCCTTACGGGTCAGCCCAAGGAAGGAATGGATACAAAACAAACTCAACTTAGAAAATCTGAGGCTTACATATTTTAATGATTATTTGATCCAAACATCTTAGTAACAAAACCTGGATCTTTAGTTTTAGAACTAAATTTAAATATGATTTCTGGTAGAATCTTAGATTGCTTCAAAATACATTTGAAACTTGAAAACAAACTCTTCTTCTATTACATTACATTAACGTTTGCCAATGTTATAAAAGAAAATTTGCTGAAAATAGCAGGAACCCAATTTTCAAGTGTTCAAAGCTTACTGAATAAAGCTAAGGGTTGAATACTATTTACCATAATGTATCCATGCTGGAAAGGTCTTACCTTTTAAAAGCTAAAAAAACAAAACACACAAAAAATCTGTTTCACAGTACTACAATTAGACCTACTATAGACTCTTCTAAGAGAACACCACATATATTTGCATACTTTATATATTCCCAAAATTGAACTGTATTCCTCAAGATGTTTTCTAGGAAAAAATTATTTCTCAAAAATCTTTCAATAATCTCATCCCTTAATTGGGGGTGGGGAGACCAAACACGTAACATCCTTGTTAACATCTCTACACATGTACTCAGGTGACAGAAAATACTTGAGGTGGTCTGTCTCGAGTTTTTCAGTGTCAATATACACCAAACAGATTGCATATTAAGATGCGCTGAAATACTTAAAAGACCGTTTAGGGTATTAATAATATTCTTTAAAATATAAATTAACCTTCGGAGGCCTGGAAGATATTTTTAAAACTACAAAATTTGCAGGGAAGTGGAGAACACCTATCTAATTGGTGGAGACCAAAATCAATGGCCAGAAAAAAAATCTAATTAGCCGTTCACGTAACCAGGGAAATGCATTTATGGCGATTGAGCATGATTAATAGTGCATACCTCTACCTGCGACCCTGGGCTGCTCCGAGCCTCGCTGCAAGACTGAGTCAATCCTGCTAACGAAACAAGAACTGAGACAAGAGTGCAGTGAGGAGGCGCCAGGTGAGCTCCCCAGCACAGCCAAGCCAGCACCGACCCTGCCGCAGAAGCCCAGGGCCCAGATAACGCTAAGTAAGCCCAATGCACAGGTGGCTGCGACCTCTCACTCCTAACTTCCTGCTGGGAAAATTTCCAGGCCTTCTGTACACCTCTTGCACTGGCACCTCTCCACCCTCAACCCTGCCCACCCCGGCCCGACACACACGCACTGACCACGTCCCTGTCTGGACTGGATAGTGAGTACCAACAACACGAGGCCAACACTGCAGTCACTACACGCCCTGGCCCGGGGTGAGCGGGAGAAGCACCAGCACGCTGGCGCTCGGCAGATCCGCGTCAAAAGGAATCATTTTAGAGCTGTAAGCTGGAGAGGCTCCTGTTACTCTCGCCTCTTCCCCCACCCTTCCTGCCCAACTCCCTAGGGGCGGGCAGGAGCTTGGGGGAGGAGGAAGAGCAATAGTGGCGGGCTCTCCGGGCCCTAAAATCTGAAAAGGAAACGCAGAGGGCGGCCCCAGTCCGAGCCCCTCTCCAAGGGACTACAGGCCCGCAGCGCCCCCTCCGCCCACCGCCCCCCGACCCACACACCCTCAGTCTCGGGGGCCGCCTCCGCCCGTTTCCTCCATACCTACCCCCCCCCCCCGCCCCGCCGAACTTACCCCCAAGCCCAAGGCCTAGACGCTTCGTACCTTAAAGTAGATCTCGTCCACCACCTCGTGGTAGGTCTTGAGCTCGTAGAGCTGCACTTTGAAGTAAGGCGACGACAGGATGTTGGTCAGGATCATGGGGTTGAGGTTCATGGTCTTCTCGTTGCCCCACAGCGGCAGCACATTGCCCTGCTTGCCCGAGACGGCCGGCTTCGTGGCGCCGCCGCCGCCGCCGCACTGCTGCTGCTGCTGGGCCGCGGCCGCGGCCGCCTGGTGCTGCGGCTGCGAGTTGCCTGTCAGCGCCGGGCTGTTGTTAGCCATGTTGCGGCGGAAGGAAGGAGGGAGGGAGAGGGAGGGGGAGGGGGCCCAGCTCGATCTCTCTCTTCGGGACAACGGTCCGGGACCCTACTCCATGGAACGCCGTCGGGAGAGGGGGCCGCCTCGCTGAGCCCCAGCCGGAGGAGGGAGGGCAACCGGGGACACCGACGGACGGACCTCGGGCCGACGGCACACGGCGAGACGCGGACCGCGAAAAACTCCAGCAGAAGGCAAGCCGGCGGCCAGGGAGCGCGATCTCTTCCGCCAACTGCCCCTGGGAACAAGATGGCGGCCCGGGCGGACGTGACGCAGCGCGCCCCGGCGTTCCAAGCTGAGCCAGCGGCCAATCAGAGGCGCCCAAGTGGGCTGGAGATTCCTCTTCCTCGTTCCGCACGTTCTCGGCTCACTGGAGTCGCTACGGTGGCCGAGTGCGCTCGGCTCCTAAGGTTCCCCCTGGGAGTCCAGGGGGCTGGGGAGGGCGTCGTAGGCCCGTTCTGTACGTTTCAGTGTTTAGGTTGGAAGCCTGATTTCTCGGACGAACAGGAAGGGATTCGCATGGCCGTTCGGTGCTTGCGAGTTCGTAACGCTTTAACTCCATTTCCCGAGTTCACTGTTTTAAGATTCTCTGGAAGGGATGGTAGTCAGGGCCCTCACTCCTCCCTGTAACTCGGATCAAAGGTCTTTCAGTCCTTCGCCGCGCTCCAGCAGGCGACTGGCGGTCTAAACGTTCGAGCCTGGATTTACTCGGTTGTGAGATTAGGATAACGTCCTACAGGGTCGTTGTGAGCATTAAAGGAACTACTCTCCTGTAGCGCCTGGTAGTATGTTCCAGGCACCTGGTAGGCGCTTTCCCTCCCTGCTCGAGACCTTCCAATTCTTAGGGTGCATCGTGAGTGGTAAACATTGGGTTAGGCACGGTGAGGGGAGCACAGGAGGGGCTGGGAAACAGGTGTAAAAACGAGTCAGCGTCGATCTCGGCTCTCGACAGCTACTAAAAACGCTACCGAGAAGGTGCCTGGTGTTGGGACGTTGAGAGATTACAGAAGGCGCTGAAGTTTTCTGCAGGGGGGAATGGGGCCAGCAGTTATTCGGCAGGAAATAGCCTGAGCATATATAAGCAGGAAAGAACAGGTTCATCAGAGGGTAAAGAGCCAGTAGATGCCCTGATGGGGGAGTAATGGCTGTGAAGTGCCTGAAATGCGAAGATGAAACGTTAGGAATTTGGTGACATTTAAATCCAAGTGTTACATAATGACATCCGTGACCTTAAAGTCTGCTTTAAGATGCTAATATTTTCTGGCTTCGATCCATTCTTCACAAGATAGCCAGAGCCGATCCAAAAGCGCATCGCTACCCTACTCAGAAACTTGGATGACTCACTCGGTAGCATCCTCGTTGCCAAAATGCAGTGACCTTTTTCATCCTTCATCCTATTTGATTTCTCGTTGTGGCACTTGTAAATTACTCTTTCTTAGAAACTTTTAGGTAAGTAAGTTTGAAGATGGTGATCTTAACTTCAGTGACACATACACAGAGGGAGGGAAGAGTATAGGACAGAAACCTTTGGGGAAATTCTCACCTGGGTGAAGATGAAGCAAGAGAGGAGAGAGAAAGACAAGCAAGCAGAAAAATAGGAACCAAACCAGCAGTTAGGGTGTAAGAGCATGCAAGGAAAGATAAAGACATAAGTGAATGAATTGAGTAATGTTTGGGGCTGGACACAGTCCATAATTGATCACCCTTTCTAGTTCCTTTATTTTGCAATGTAGGAGAACTGAAGCTTTGATAGAAGTCATTTTCATTTTGTGCTCATAGATCTTGTTTTTCTATACAATGGTTTATATCAAACTACTTCCCAAGGAAAACTGATGATCCTATCCTCTGAATTACCAAGTTAAACATTTTTTTAACTTAGTTCTTTTTGTGTATGTACTTTTTAAAATATTTATTTATTTGAAAGACAGAATGACAGAGAGAGAGAGGGAGAGACAGAGATCTTCCATCTACTGGTTCACTGATTCATTCCCCAGTGGCTGCAACAGCCAAGGCTGGGCCAGGCCAAAGCCAAGAGCCAGGAACTCCAGCAGGTATTCAAGTAGTTGGGCCATCTGCTGCTGCCCTCCTAGCCATATTAGCAGGGAGCTGAATCAGGTGGACACAGCGGGGACTCCAACCAGAACTCCGGTATGGAATGCTGGTTAACAAGTTGCAGCTTAACCTGGTGTGCCACAATGTTGGCCCCTGGGTATCCATTTTTGTTTTTTGCTATAATAATAACAGCTTATTGAGTTTACATAGTGACACTGTAATTGCCAAATGCTATGATCTTTGTAAATTCTTTGTATACATGATCTTTTCCATCTTTCCTTGTTTCTTTTTCTTTTGGAAAGGCTGAATTATAGAGTTATTCCATCTGTTGGTTCACTCCCCAAATGGCCCTAATGACTGAGGCGGGGCCAGGCTGAAGCCTGGAGCCAGGAGCTTCACCTGGGTGTGCAGGGGCCCAAGCACTTGGGTCACCCTCCGCTGCTTCCCTGGGCACATTAGTAGGGAGGTGGATCACAAGTGGAGCAGCTGGGACCTGAACCGGCACCAGTATGGGTACTGGCACTGCAGGCTTTACCTGCTATGCCACAACACCAGCCCCTAAAAAGTCTTTGCATGGTAAGTTATACTTCCCCTTGCAGTACTGACAACCCTTATGGCATCCGTTCCAGTCCCAGCTGCTCCACTTGTGATCCAGTTCCCTGCTAATGTGCCTGAGGGAGCAATAGAAGGTGGCCCAAGTGCTTGAGCCCCTGCACCCTCGTGGGAGACCTGGAAGAAGCTCCTGGTTCCTGGCTTTGGCCTGGCCCAGCCCTGACTGTGGTGGCCATTTGAGGAGTAAGCCAGTGGATGGAAGACCCCTCTCTCTCTGTCTCTCCCTCTCTCTGTAACTCTACCTTTCAGATAAATAAAATCTTTTTTAAAAAAAGTTTTTACAGTCAATTAATCCTCTTTTGAAAAATCCACACAATCACTGCAGCTAAATTGTTGCAGAATCTTCCATTCTGCTTTTTGCCAGCAGCAACCTTGGCTTTTGCACTCCCCTGATTTCCTTTATTTTGTTCTTGTTTTCATTTTTCTTCATAATTCATTTTTCTTGCATAATCCAAGGAATTGTAAAAGACACTAAAGTCAGCTGTCTTGCCGCCACCAAAATGGGTTCTGAATCTAAATACAGCAATGACTTCTAGTGTGGTCTTGTCCATTTTGATTAGTTTCCCCAAAATTTCTGTCTTATGTATTGTTACCCCTTCCAGGGTAAAAGACGTGATGACCATTTGTTTCCTCTGAAGTAGCTGGTTGCCCATGAACTTCCTGCAGATAGTTACTGTGTTGTTCATGATGGCTGTTAATTCTCAGGCACCAGGGATGAAAAGAGCATGGCTAACTTGTTGTGACGTAGCCAAATTTCCTGAAGTGGTGGTCCCATTTCACATGCCACCAGCAGTGTGTGAGAGTTCCAGTTGCTTTATCTCTTCACCACACTTTGTATAAAGGGTTTTTGTTTAGATTTTAGACATTCTAAATGGGAATGATGTGCTACTGTGATTTTTTTTTTTATTTGACAGATAGAGTCAGACAGTGAGAGACAGAGAGAAAGGTCTTCCTTCCGTTGCCCTCCCCCCCAAATGGCCGCCACAGCCAGAGCTACGCCGATCTGAAGCCAGGAGCCAGGTTCCTCTTCCTAGTCTCTGATGTGGGTGTAGGCGCCCAAGCACTCGGGCCATCCTCTACTGCCCTCCTGGGCCACAGCAGAGAGCTGGACTGGAAGAGGAGCAACCGGGACAGAATCTGGCGCCCATATGGGATGCCGGCGCCGCAGGTAGAGGATTAACCTAGTGAGCCATGGCCCCAGCACTTGTGATTTTTTTTAAGAAATGCAGTTCAAGAAAATTGTTTTTTATTTGAAAAGCATAGGGAGAGACAAACATACACAGGTCTTCCATCTGCTGGTTTATTCCCCCAAATACCTGCAATAGCCAGAGCTTGATAAGGCTGAAGCCAGGGGTCCAACTCTCAATCCAGATCTCCCAAGTACTTCAGCCATGACCTGCAGTTTCCTAGGGTCCAAATTCTTAGGAAGCTGGAATCAGAAACAGAGTGAGGACCCAAACCAAGACACTCTGATATGGGATGTGGTCTTCCCAAGTGGTAGATTAACCATTGTACCAGACACCTGCCCCTCATTGCAATTTTAATTTATATTTTTATTACCACTAATGGCATTGAACATCTTTTTCAAGTGCTTATTGCCATCCATGTATCTTTTATTGTAATATAAATGAAAAAAGTTTAATGTTCAAATCAGGGTAACTTAAAACATGTTCTCCATTTTCTTTTGTTGTTTTATATTTATTTGCATGGCAGAGTGACAGAGAAGAGGGGAGAAGAGAGAGAAAAAGAGAGTGAGGGAGATATGTTTCATACACTGGTTCACTTCTCAAATGCCCACAACAGCTGGGATTAGGCTAGGTTGAAAGCAGGAGCCAGGAACTCCATCCTGCTCTCCCATGTGTGTGGCAGTGCCCCAGGTACTGGAGCCATTGCCTGCTGCCTCCCAGGTGTCCAATAGCAGGAAGCTGGAAGTGGAATGGGAACTTGAACCCAGGCACTCTGTTATAGAATGTGGGCATTTTACCACTGAGCCAAACACCCACCTGTTTACCTTATAATTGAGTTAGAAAAACTCCTTTTTAAGAAAATATTTATTTTGAAAGCATTACAGAGAGATATTTTCAACCACTGGTTCACTCCCCATATGGTCACAACAGCCAGCACTAGACCAAGCGAAACCAGGAGCCAGGAGCTTCATCCCACATGGGCCATCTTCCACTGTTTTCCCAGGCGCATTAGCAGGGAGCTGGATCAGAAATGGAGCAGCAGAGATGCAAACCTGCACTCATATGGAATGCTGGTATCATAGGCTGTAGTTTTACCCACTCGCCACGACCCTGGCCCTCAAAGAACTCTTTACATGATCTGTATGTGAGCCCTGTGTCTAATATAAGTGTTGCAAGTATTTTTATACAGTCTGTAGTTTGCATTTTAATGTTCCTGTAGAGGAAATACGGCTGCAACCAGAGAAAAAGAGAGAGAAGCAGACCCCTCCTCCCAACACAGACCTTGAAAAGTGGCTGCTCACAATTAAATAGTGAAGCAGCTGCCCACTGTTACCTTGTCCACGGAGGGAAGAAGTCTTAAATTCTGCTTCTGTAAACTCCAGTCATAAATCTGTCCTAATAAATCTGCTCCGGT